GCCTTTTTTTTGGGCCAAGAAAACTAGAATATCCACTTCTTCCAGCTTGAGGCTAAAATGCTGAGTGAGCTGATTACTATTTAGTTATGGTTGTCATATTACATTTACAGCACAGGGTTTAGTCAAACTCATCTACAGGCAGTTCACAAGCTCTGTATTATTTGGTTAAATTTACTCATTTAACCCCTTAATGTGCTTATTTAGGATGTAGTACTGAGGCCAAAATCGCTAAAAGTAGCACATACTAATATTCATCTGTTATAGATAATAACTACATAATGCATGTGTAATAATCCATAACTGAGCATGTGCTCAAAAACAAAAAGTACCACTGCTATGACACAACCCGTCTGATGGTATTCAACAGGTATAAGATTCTTTTCTTGCAAGAACTTAAGACTTTTGCACTTGCGCAAATAAACATGCTAACAAACATTGTCACACTGAAATAAAAAAAGAGTAGGAAATAGTTAACTATTTACTAGGGAATGTTTAAAGCAGTTTAAAGCATTCCAGCACTCTGTTTACATCACAGACGCTAGCCTTGAGCAGATAAGGTCAGATAAGAAGAATCCCCCATTTACACCACATCAGCACAGATGATGTGATCAGGGTGGGTTTTGAGGTATAAAACAAAATGAGGAAAACAGAAAAACTGTGTGCAATACTTGCACCAAAGAAGCCCTGCAACGTAGACATCGTGATGCAAAAAAGCGACTGTACATCACATGATACACAGCCTTTGACCTGCAGTAAACATTCAGTCTGAACACATGTTTTATCACTGCTGACCCAACCACAGGTCCTTCTTCAGTACCACACTGCTGTTGGAGCCTGGAGCGGCACTAATACTAGACCTAAACCTACAATAAAGGGGATTTTCAAGGGTGAATCACAACTGACATTACAATTCAGTCGCAGAATGGGCTTAATCCACGTCCAGGAAACCGGCCCTGAATGGGGTGACAGTGAGGCCTACTGTCAAGCCAAACCAAGCTCAGGCTTGAAGAAACTTTAGAGCTTTCAGGCTGATTTTTTTCTTTCAGTCTTTATAGTTACAGTCAAAATGATCAATCACAGACTTTAAACGTGATGTTTTATGGGGAAAATGCAATTTTAGATACTAAAAGTCCAGATAATGAAGGAAAAGGCCAAGCCAGTAACTTCATAACAGCTAAATAACTGCTCACCAACAGTCTTATATTTTAACTACGATGGATTAATTAAACAGACCAAGACTCTTCTTCTTGTTCTTCTGGTCTCCAGGTCAGCAATCATGATTCCTCCCACCAAACATCAACTTTACAAAGTTCTCCAACAAACCAACAACTAGTTTAGGTCACTCCGATGCAACAATATGACCACAACTGCTGAAGAGCACGTTAATCTTTCTAGTCAAGCGGTTCTGGTATTAAAGAGTTTGGTTTTCTTTTATTAAACACATGCCTGACAAAACTGGACACTAAGCTGGACCCAAGCTGGGTTTTGATGGAGCTGAGTGAGTTAGAGAGTGAGACTCTCTCACATGTGCTGCCTCCTTTCCAAAACGAGGCTGAAGGTGGTTTCCTATTCGCCAGCTTCTTGGTCTAATTTGCCCGTTCCACCTTAAATGGTGCAGCAGTTGCATTCTGGCGCCTTCAGAGTCTCCCTCACTCAGCCTCAGGCGCCAGAATGCAACTGCTGCACCCTTTAAGGTGGAACGGGCAAATTTGACCAAGACGCTGGCCAATAAGAACAGACTTGAGCCTCGTCTTCCCAAAGCCCATCCAGCTCGGCTCACCTTTCTCCCGCAGAGGAGCGCTCGCCTCTTCGTCCCTGCTCACTTGCGTGATGATCGACGAGGACGGGAGGTCCATGAGATCCGCACAAGAGTCCAGAAACGTTAAAGCCGCGTTTTCCTGCTAACAGAGTTCGCTGCGCTTAAACTTCAACACTACACTAAAGTTCCTCCTCCTAGTTACTTCCAGCAGTCCAGGCCAGTCCAGTTAAGTGCATAATGCGCGCTCACGCCGGAACGGAGGTGACTCCTACACTCTCATTACTGTAACGGAGCAAAAGGAAAGCAGTAAAGCTAAAAATGAAAGTTTCGCGGCTTGATGATAAACTTTGTTACAACATGGAGTTCAGCGTAGCTCTCAATTTCAAGATACAAACATGGAACTCGGCGGTTTCAAGGCACCCCGAGTCTTAAAGCGGCAACGCCTGCCCGGGGAGGGTCCGCTCAGGAAGTGATACAGTAAAGAGAGAGTTTCATATTCACATTCACATTCATATTCAGGGTGCGTTCATACAGGAAAAGGGTATTTGTAAAACTACAGTCGTAATGAAATTTATGCTAAGATTGCAAATTACATTTTTGACATTAAAATAAATGGATTAAAATGCGTTGTAGATCGAAACTTTCTAACAAAATTGCTGGAAAACATCGTCTCAAACATTAGATAGCGTACAGTTATATATATATATATATATATATATATATATATATATATATATATATATATATATAGAGAGAGAGAGAGAGAGAGAGAGAGAGAGAGAGAGATCATATGTAATATAATAGATGTAATATATACATAGTGTATAGACGTAATAACTTTCTGTGAGGGGGCTTTTAAAGACATTAAACTCTTCAGACGTCTGGTTCCTGTCACCATCACTGTAAACAATTTTGACTATACTCGAAAAAAGGAGCATTTCACACTTTATAATAATTATAATAGTGTTATTATAAACACTCAAAACAGTATTGGTGATTTGCTCGTGTGATCAAAAACCCTTTCTACAACACGTCTGCAACTTTTGTGCGTTTCCCCTTTAAATTCTGCAAAATCCAACACGCAAAACAAAAGTTGAGCAGATCTCGGCCTCGCCGGAGGAGGATGCGCTTTTTCTGTCAAAACGCCTCGTTATTGTGTCGACAGCGAACCACAGCACAGACTAATGCGCGCGCGAGACGGACCCTTAAACCCTCGCTGCCGTCGATCAGCCCCCTTTCCCCCTTTTCCTCACATTTTGCCAACTTTGGAAACTTTCTCGTGAACTTTTCGCTGTGGTAGTGCTCAGTGAGCGGGGCGCCTTGAAACCGCCCGCAGGAGAATGGAGAATAGGGAGAGTCCTCAAAGTGCCAAACTCGCACTCACACTCAAGTTCAGCGTATTAGTATTCATAGAGCGCTGCACTCCAGAGCCTCTAGAGTGGGTCTAATTCATTACACAACAAGCTTTATAACCCACCCCCCCGCAGCAATGGCTGCTGTTATTCCATCTGAACTTTTTCTTAACTTTGCTTTGTCTTTGATTTGACTGAACGGCTTGGCTTAAGACAAATGAGCTACCCTTCCCTGCTGAAAAATGACCATTGAAACCTGATGGATTTGCTTTCTAATGGGAATTGACTTAATGATTACCACTAGAGACCACTAGTTTTACTGTCAGACAATTTTAGATCCCATTAGGTGCATCTGGAATTAGTGTCAGGACACCTGTTAAACCATTAAGAGTCCTTTTACAGTCCTTTACACGGTGATATTAACCCATCAGATAAACACAGAATGCCATTAGTGACTGTAACACCACCAGCAACCAAGAGACACTTTTAATGGTCTATATCTAATGGCAGGGCTATATATATATACAGGCCATCGGTCCATCACAGGGCCAACACAGCATCTCCAATTTGCCTGATCTGCCTGCCTATATATATACACACACACACACACACGTGTAATACACACATCAACTATTTAGGATAAAATAGCCTAATTCAATATTTCAGGTTCTATCAAGTGTAACTGAAATGCTGTTTATTAAAATTTGTGGCAGCTTATTTGGAGCCAGAATGCCAACACTCAGCATTATAAGTGCAAACGATAAACATTTTTCTCCTAACTTGATCACACTGGTGACAAAATGCAATTATTACATTTTTGACAAAATATCCAACTGATGTGCATGGTTTCTTTTTTCCATACTTCTAGCTACACACTGTGAATATGAATGCCAGTGTACAGTCCATTAAATGGTAAATACTGACACATCTGTAAAAACCTTTTATCACTTCACTTTTAGCCTGTTACGAGGTGCAGTAATGACAGTTTGGAGTCAGGCCGATTTCGGCTGCAGCGATCACTTCTGAACGTGGACTTTATTCAGCGTTAAAGTCTTTAGGTTTATGTGGAGATGGGAATTTTATGGATGTGTAACTGACAGAAAGATGGACACAAGTCTGCAAACCCAGCCAGAGAAGACCTGAGAGCATGAGATGCAGTAGAAGGCTGTACATGTAGGTATGAACCACATAAGAAATAGAACATCAAATCCTGTTTTATTAATACGTTTTGAAAAGTTAAAGCAGAAATATAATGATATTTACATCTTCCAGTTGACTTATTTGATATCTGTTTTTGCTAAGACAGTCATAATGAACAGACAGCAGTGTTCTCAGGCTGTTTGGTACAAGAATGTATTATATTGTTTTACGTATTTTACATGCCAAATAACTCCAGTTAAATTTGCATAATCCTACACGCGTCTTCTGTAATGTTGAAAGTGGAATGCTTACTATTTCGCCTTATGCCTGTACCTTTCCACTATAAACGGCTTTAAAATATACGTTTCAGGCAAACTGTTTATCTGAGTAGTGTCATAAAACAATCTTTCAGGCATCAGACAATGTTTTCTATCCACTTCATATGATAACTTTCTGTGAGGTGGCTTTTGGAGGCAACAAATGTTTTGGACATTTGGTTCCTATCACCACCACTGTGAACAATTCTGACTCTGTAAGTTTCTCTAGAAGAGAACGTTTCACGCAAAACCACTCTGAATGACTTAGTTTACATCCTAACCATTCAATTATGCAGAAATTTGGAAAAACTGGTGGAATTTCCCTCTAAAGTAATACCTCTGCAAACAGACAGGAGCGTTCTCAGATAGTTTAGTACAATAGTTCACAGAAAGTCATCTAGAGAAACATCAAAGCATAAAACACACACCAAAAACCTTTCAGTTTAATATTTATTGTAGGTTTGTAACAGCTGGAACTCAGCTTGACACAGAGTGGGAGGAGCCTACAAGGAAGACCAGACGAAAACAGACAGAAAAGGAAAAAACAGAAGAGCTTCACTGAGTCTCTCACAGGATGTCCACTCGAGCGAAAGACTGGTCTGTTCCCAGGTTATTTTCCACAAACACCTCGTACTTTCCTGAGTCCGATGGCCGAGCGTTTTTGATGGTCAGGATGGTGTTGGTGTCTCCTACATCAAAAAATACTCTGTGGGGCAACAACAAAAATAGATAAATACACAAAAGTTATGTTTTAGCAGTGAAGAATGGTCTGTAACATCTTGGACTGCAGCCAAAGCTAAAGAGAAACAAACATAAGCGGTTTCTTAGTAATGTATTAATATATATTTTAATGTGTCTGTTCACACTGTCATTTATATCTCAGCACTCTGGCAACCTTTCTAAATTTCTGCATAGTTCAATACTTGGGTTGTAAATAGAGTTGTTCTCACACACACACACAAACACACACACACACACACACACACACACACTCACACATTAGCTAAGCTGCTTATTCTCCTGGGTCATGGAGGGTGCTAGAGCCTATCCCAGCGGTCACTCGGCGTAAGGCAGGAAACACCCTGGACAGGTCGTCAGACCATCACAGGGCACAAGTGGTTTAATGTGAAATGGTACATTTCTAGAGAAAGAGAAGTCAGGCATCAGGCAGCGTATTTGTAACCAGTGACCTAAAGTGAGGAGCTTTTTAGAGTCATTAAACTATTCTGGTTCTCTAGAACAGAGCATTTCACATTAAACCACTGAATTTTTTTTTATTATGCAGAAATTTGGCAAAATCAGTGGAAAACCCCTTAAAAGCAGTAGTTTGGTGAAAAATCTAATTTCCACAATTACTCTACATTGCCCAAATATAGTCAATTAGCTAAGATACGTTTGGTGTCCTAACTTTACTTCTTTAGTTTTACACTGAAGTTATGAGGCTGATGTAGCAAACAACTAAAGCTTTTACCCCACCGATTATCTCCATACTTACATAACTCCATACCCAAACTCACGTCAAATCAAACTGATTTGTTAAGCAATCTCAAATAAACTTGGAATCATATGCAAATGTTTGAGCAGCGCTGGTCAAATTACATGGTTTATTAAGATTCTAAATGAAATTCAGTTACACATCCTCTACAGGAGATGAACTTTCTGCAGATTTTTTCTTTTAGATATGTTTCAGAATTGCTTTTGGTAATGAGCGTATGACTCGGGTTTGTAAAACAGTGCTGTGCTTCAGGGTTGTGAACAGCACTACCTTTCGTCCTCTTCTATATCATCTCCATCCTTGAGCCAGCCCACGTCGGGGGGCGGTTCCCCACTGATATCGGCCTTCAGCACCACCGTGGTCCCTCTCTTGCCTTTTACACTGTCCGGACCCTTGTTAACTTTAGCAGGAACTGTATGCAGAAGAACACCACAGTGAAGACCTGAACCAACACAGATCCATCACATAACACACACTGCGTGTCCTACACACCCTCCACTATGATGCAGGCAGAACCGGACGCCTGGCCAAAGGGGTTTTTGATAGTAACGGTATATCTGCCCAGATCAGCCAGCTCCCCATCACGCACCACAAGCGCTACAACATCAGGGTCTTCAAACACATAGCGATATTTAGGTCCATCTTTCAGCTCTTTCCCGTCCTTCAACCAGACGATGAAGGGGTCAGGGAAAGCGCTGACTCGGCAATCCAGCTTGGCAGCACTTCCTTCCACCAGAAGCACATCCTTTAGCTCCTGCAGGAACTTCGGGGGCCCCTTTTCACGAAGCTCCTTTCTTGACCTACGTGGATAAGAAGAAGGAGTCAACCTGAAGACATCTGTACTACAAGAAAAATCAGTTGTTGATTTTACTCTAACAGGTCATAAAAACTGATTCACTGACTCATCTAATCTGAGCTGAGTTTATTGTACTCATTAATGACTTGCATAGGTTTGAATGACAGTCAAGCCATTTGATTTCCATAAGCCATCTGAGTGAGCCCAACAAGTGCTTTCTCTACACAGAAAATACACCTGAATTCTGTTTAAAAACCTGAAGGCCCCAACTTACAACTTTCCCTGTGTCTCATTTCTAGCTGACAACAGGCCTAACACTGTATGCAGGTGAACTGTATGTAAAAAACAGGTGTAGTTAGGTGTAGTATATTACCGATGTCCCCGGTATGAAGCCTGGATGCGGATCGCTGCTTCTTGTACTTGAGGGTCATTAATGTTGATTGTGCACCCTGGTGGGGGTGCAGCCTTGACTTTGGACATCTGTTAAAAACATCAAGCAAAAGTTATCACTGGCATGCAAAACTAATATAATATAAAATAGCTTGTTTTATGAAATGGAAACTCATTCGTTTTGATTGCTTTATATATATTTATATATATATGTAAATTTATATATGTAAATTTCATGATGAGCAGACCAAAAGAATTGGAATAATTCGAGAAAAAGTCTGGATCCACTGACTTACATTAAAAGCAAAGTATGTTTTTTCCTTTTCCTGTAAAGTTACAGCGATATATATATATATATATATATATATATATATATATATATATATTTATATATATAGTTGCATGCAAAAGTTTGGGTACCCCTGGTCAAGTAGTTCTGTTCCTTTTCTAAGTGAAAATAAGTGAACACACCCTTTACAGAGAACACACTTCTGCACTGTACTTTTATTTACTGATATATTGAAAAACTGTATGTAAGTATGTAGTTAAGTATGTAAAAAATAAAGAGATCTTGTTCCTTTAACTTCATTTTAAAGTTAATGTTCTCCTGTAAAGTTACTATTTAGGCCATTTTGGAGATGAATGGTTTTGTTCTGACAGCAGTAACTCATCATTAATATCATTAGCATTTGTACAATGATTTCATATTTGTGTTGTCTAACTTGTATTGCTCTCAAAAACTTTGATGAAATGATTACTGTTCAAAATTGCTGTTTTTCCAAAGTTCCATACAGAAACCTGAATGTTTCAAATATGTATAACTCTGGCTAAGCCTTCTTCTTCATTATTATCATCATGCAAAATCAGGAATAACTCACCCCAGACAGGCTTCTGACTCTTTCCTCTTGCTCAGGGTTGCCTGCACCTCAGCTTTATAAGCAGGGCTCCACTGGGGCAATTCTGGTTTAGTTAGAGGAGGCCTACAAATCCCAAACCAGCATTCCTCCTTTCTTGGATCCTTCTTTGGGGGGTCTTGGCTTGTCAAGGTTGATAAAAGATGGACACCAAGTGTTATAGAGAAGCAAGCTGTGCCTTATATAGTGAATCCATGGCTGAAAGACCCCGGAGGGTACCCAGAATGCTGTGTGGGAGACTAGAGGGCGGTGGTGCTGGATGCCGGAGTGATGGACTTGAAACACGAGTGCTCCCGTATGAGCGTATTCACACAGGTGGACAGCCAGTGGGACCTGCAAATTTTGGGCTGGGCTGACTTGACTGCATCCACACGTGTAGCTAATGGGCCTCTTTTGGGACTCATCCCAGCTGTCAGGTTTTAGAAATGTCAGTGGAAAGTCTGCGTCATTATTCAGCCATGAACCTATCACACGATACTTTAAAGGAGAATTCCACCAATTTTTTGAAATTCCTGCATGATTACATTGCTAAGATTTAAAGCAATTCAGAGTGGACTGATGTCATTCTAGAGACTTACAACTGTCACAAGAGTCACAACTGTTCACAGTGGTGATGGGAACCAATTAAATGCCTCTAAAAGCTAAATAACAGGAAGCTGTTACATAAAATGGTCACAAATACATTTGGCAACTTTCGCTACAATGAACCATTTCACACCAAACCACTCTGAATGACTCTGTTTAAATCTATACCACTGAATTACGCAGATTTTTTAAATGTGGAATTTTCCTTTAAAGGGGAACTCCGCTGATTTTGCAAAATTACTTAATCATTGGTTTAGATGTAAACAAAATCATTCAGAGTGGTTCGGTTTGTCTTTCTAGAGAAATTTACACAGAAAATGTTCACCATTGTAGTACTAGGAACCAGACGTCTGAAGAATTTAATGGCTCTAAAAGCTACATCCCATTAAGTTATTACACAAAATAGTTATGAATGCACTGCTTGACACCTGCGACATTGTTTTGTGATGGTTCTGGTATAAAGTTTTGGCCTTAAACGTATTTTAGCATAAACTGTTACTCTCAAAACCGCATTCTCAAGTGAGTTCAATGCGCGCGAGCTGACGTGCTTTTGTAGTTACCAGCCTGTAGCTACGGCCGTTCAACACGGTTATCGCCAGGAACAGCTTTTGTTTACAGTTTTGTCACCTATTTTGGAAGATGGTAGAGTAAGGACAGGATTTCGATGAGGTGTGTTTCCAAAAATGTCGTAAATATCAATTTGAACCAGAGAGAGAGAGAGAGAGAGAGAGAGAGAGAGAGAGAGAGAGAGAGAGAGAGAGAGAGAGAGAGACCTCACCGGCGCCAAAGCAGAACCATCCAGGGAAATTGGTGGTGTAACTACTCGCTACTCTGCTTACCAGTCTGTAAGCTAACGGCTAAAAGTGATACACACACGGTGGCTAAAGACGACTAATTTACTTCACTCTCAGACGTTTCTTACCATGAGTCCACTTTCTGTGGTGGAACAGCAGTTTTTTTTAGCAGCCGGCAAATTCTTTGCATTTTTCACTGGTCTTCAATGGTCTTCATCAGTTTCGTCGTTATTGGTTCAGTGTGTAGAGCTGTTCGACTTCGGTGTTTGTGTGGAGCCTCAAAATGCTGTAGGTGCAGCTGTGACCTGTCGCAGCTCCTCAGATGCGCAACGTAACTCGCATAAGCTCTGAGCGTTTCTGACATCTTGTGACGCAACGCCGCCAACCCAAACAACACAAACGCGTGCAGGGCGGAGAGGTACATGCAGGGCGTTGTGAAGAAAAAATAGTACCCACAGAAAACATATTTTACAAACTTAGCATTATTTTACCGTTAACAGCGTGACTTAAAAACTTAAACGACACATGTAAGTTCACTGGTCATTTTGAATTGCAGGCAAAATAGTGAAATGTGTAGTGTGGACATAAGGGCGTCTGGTTCCAAGTACTGTAATGGTGAACAATTTTGACTCGGTAGATTTCTCCAGAAAGGTGCATTTTCTCACCAAATCACTCAGTGATTTTGTTTACATCTAAACCATTGAATGATTAAGTAATTTTTTGCAAAATCGGTGGAGTTCCCCTTTAAGCTGTGTATTCACGGATATGGCAACTCCTGTTCGTGTTAAGTCACTTTTAGGAATTGCAGAACCAGGTTAACCAAAAACAGCAATGCATCATGTAATTTATTATTAGTGCAACTTCACCAGTTTAACAGTGACCTCTCACAGGTCAGCTAATCTTAATCGCTACGCATCTGGATACTTGCCTTGGAGTGTCAGTGGATGTATGTGACAAAACTACCATTTTTCAGATGAAGTACTGTTAATAACAGACTTTATTTCATGAATTGTCATGTTTTCCACATATACACACTGATTTCATACTACTGTAAAACATTCATGTCATGTCCATGTTTGTCACTGTTTTAGTGCAACATAATGCATTCCAGAAAAACTTGGTTTAGTTTCACATTAAAGGGTCGCCCAGCATGATCCAAAGGAAAAGTACACAAATGCTCACACGCCAGTTATTAGTACAAAACCTTATTCACAACCACAGACCAGTGTCTGCGGCTCTTTAACCATGTTTGCTTTGTTGTGATTCCATATATCATTGGCCTTAAAGATTGTTCCAAACTTGAGTCATTCAAAACGTAATTAATGAAGAGTGGAAATCACTCTTACTTGCTCTTCATTATGCAAATAATAAAGAGATACAAAAGTTGAAAATGACAGAAACACCAATAATATTAATAATAATATTAATAATAATAATAAAATTTGGCAACACAAAAGGCCCTTGTGCCTGTAAATAGCAGTGAGTTTAAGCAAATGAGAAATGGAAATAAGTCAGCGTGACACTGTGTAGCAGGCACAGCAACAAGGTAAACATTTGGCTCACTGCAAGGTATAACAGTATCAAAGATTAACATACTTTTGTACCCAAACAGTTTTTGGATACTTTTGCACTTTTGTACCCAAAACAGATCCATATGGCCTTTGAATTATTACAAAAGGGCGAGTGGCAGTGCTTAAGCAGGTGTTTCATAAGGTGGTTAGTACATATATGTGAACTATACTTTAAATCTGCAGCACAAACTGTGCTGTAGTAACATTTCCTCTACTCACTGATGTGATGTAGAGATGATCAACAATATGCAAATCTCCTCTTTCTATAAAACTCCTCCTTTTTGGATGATTTTACACAACATCATGCCCCGGCAATAACACAACCAGATCTACATACATTTGCCTCATTGACAAAACGAAGAAGTAAAACCATGATGTTCTGTAATCCTGTGCTTACCAAGTACGACCAAAAAGTCAGATCCATTCTGTCCACAACAAACAAAAAAGCATAACCTTCATTTCATTACATGACAATAAAAAGTAACCATCATTTAGATCAACGACTTGATCACAGCACTCATAACTGTGCCAATTAATTTCCTGTATATTGAATAGGGTTTCATGTTTAGTTGATTAAAGAATGACTGTTGATATGTGTTCCAAAACATCAGACCGATCATAAACCTGTCATGGTAAAGCAGAGATATTCAAATTTAGATGGGTCTGTATTTTGTGACCACTGGTAGTTAACTGAACTGTTATTTTACCATCACCCCTGACTCCCCTGAGGAAAAAGGAAGTAAGTCTGTAGTATCTGGACCGCAAGGACTGTGAACTGAATACCTCTGACTTGTATGAAGAGCTTAATACTGATGTTTTTGGGAAAATTTACCCATTTTTACATAATCTGAAAATGCCAGGTGATCTTTACATTGTGTCAGTCTTTCATGATGAAAGGACTTACAGAAATGGCTCAAAGTATCTTTCTACACTATAGGATTTTTCTTCTAACGGCAACAATATGCAAGATCTAAATAAAATAACCTTGATTTTACTCATCCACTGAAAACAAAACCATACTTCATATGTTGTACTTTCAAAGTAACATTGCAAAGATTCGTCAAACATTCAACATAGCAGCCACTGTGTCTTTGCCACACATTTTTTCTATTCTCTTCTGTAATTTAAGCCATAACTAGAGAAGTGGCACTTCTTATAGATGACACAAACTTTTTCAGTTGTAAGACACACTACAAGATAAATGGGCAGCACACTCACGCTGGTCTTAGTTTAAGTGTAGTTCCACTGAAACACATAAAAAGAAAAAAGGACAGTAAGAAATGTCTGCCTCGTTAAACACCAGCTCATTGAACACAGTATTGTCCTGCTGGTCTTATATGCCTGTTTAATGGTTTTAGATTCACATATCCACTGTATTCTTGGTCAGGACTTGAACAAGCAAACCCTCCATGTAACCACCAAGACCTAATATGTCTTAAATTACATAAATAAAAAAGTTTTAAGCAGACTCCCCTGTACTTTGAGTTGAGGAATAATACCACAATACTTCATTCTGCTGCCACAGGTAATTAATTTATTCTATTTATTCTATAATGTAAAATATCTGTATTGATAGCATGCTCGTCACTCCACCAGTGTGCAGATATCCAAAAAAAAACCAAAAAGGTTTTCAGTGCATTCAGAAGACTTCAACAAAGGCAGATACATAAAACCAGTGCAAAGACATCTGTGATGTATAATACATTCTGGATTTTAAATAGAAAGGCAACCTTCAATACCAAAAAAGTTGAATAAATAAAATAATAAGTGGCACAATTTGAACTTTCCTCAGCTTAGAAGGACAAAATCCTGCATCCTTTTGTACAACCTTGTTTCCAAAAAAGTTGAGATGCTGTGCAAAATGTAAATTAAAACATAATGCAATGATCTGCAAATCATTTAAAGTCTATATTGATATGAAAAACAGTACAAAGACAATATACCAGATTTTATAACTAAGAAATTTTATTGTTTTTCTGAAAAATATATGCCCATTTTGAATTTGATGTCAGTAACAATTTTTTAAAAAGTTGGGACATGGACAACAAAAGACTGGTAAAGGTGTGTGATGCTAAAAAAACACCTGGTGGAACATTCACTCATGGAACATCTTACAACTAATTAGGTTAACTGGCAACAGTTCAGTAACATGATTGGGTATAAAAAGAGCATCCCAGAGAGTCTTTCAGAAGTGAAGATGAGGAGGCGTTAACCACTCAGTGAAAGACTGTGCGGGCAAACAGTGCAACAGTTCAAGAACAATGTTTAACATAAAATAACAAAGAACTTCAGAGAATTTCATCATCTACGGTACATAGTATCATTAAAAGACTCTCTCTGAATCTCTGTACGCAAGGGACAAGGTCGAGAACCAGCACTGGGTGGCCATGATCTTTGAGCCCTCAGGTTGCACTGCATTACAAACAGACATGATTCTGTAGTTGAAATCACTGCATAGGCTCAGGAAAACTTCTGAAAATCACTGTTTGTGAACATAGTTTGTTGCTGCATCCACAAATACAGGTGAAAACTCTACCATGCAAAGTAGAAACCATATATAAACAGGATCCAGAAACACAGCCGCCTTCTCTGGGCCCGAGCTCATTTAAGGCTGACTGAGGCGAAGTGTAAAAGTGTCCTGTGGTCTGACAAATCAAAATTTGAAACTCTTTTTGGAAATCATGGATGCCGCATCCTCTGGGCTAAAGAGGAGACAGACCACCCTGCTTGTTGATGGTATACCATGATGGTATGGGGGTGCACTAGTGCACATGGCATGGGTGACTTGCACATCTATGAAGGCACCATTAATGCTGAATGATTTATACAGGTTTTGGAGCAACATATGCTGCCATCCAGATGACTTTCAGGGAAGGCCTTCCTTATTTCAGTAAGACAATGCCAAACCACATTCTGCGTGTATTACAAAAGCATGGCATCATCATAAAACAGCATCATAAAAGAGTCTGGGTGCTAAACTGGCCTGCCTGCAGTCCTAACCTGACATCCACTAAAGCAACTGGTGCATAATGAAATGGAAAATACATCAAAAGAGACTGTGAACTGTTAAGCAGCTGAAATCTTACATGAAGCAAAAATGGAAAAACATTTTACTTTCAAAACTCCCCAAATCTTTGTCAAAAGAAGAGGTGATGCAGCACAGTGGTAAACATGCCCCGTCCAAACTTTTTCGGAACATGATGCAGGCATCAAATTTAAAATGGGCATATATTATAAAAAACCATAAAATTTGTCAGTTTCAACATTTGATATGTTGTCTTTGTACTATTTTCAGTTAAATATAGGGTTTGTCACATGACTGGACAACTTTTTCCTTTTTTCCCTTTTGATCAAAAAGTTTCTCTGACGTCACAGGCTGCTAAGTATGACCCAACTTTTTTGCCATGAACGGTAAAAGTTAGTAAAAGACAAAACTCAAAGTAGGTTGTAAAACATCAAGTGGCACTACAGTAAGAATAGCTTGAGTGCTAAATACTCCATATATACTCATGATAACTGTATAACAACTACTTGTAATAAAAGAGTCAATCATAAAAACTAGCAGAAAAAAGGATATACACATTTTATTCCTCCACAATTTCCAAGGCCCCAGGGTCATTATAGGGAAATACCACAAATGTTTACATTAACATGACATTTGGCAAATGATGTCGTACACCTCCATGTTCTTAAATTATAAGCTTTTTGGAGATTTACTGACTCCACACAATGCAGAAAACAGCTTGCAACATCTTAGTCAAACTGTCACAGATAGAAGAATATGAAAAGGGATGTGTGGGCAGGGCAAGACAGTGCAGGGGAGAAGCAAGACTGTGCACGGAGTAGGGCTTCTAGCAGGACAATGAACTCGACAGCGCTGAGCATGCTGGCCACAGCTGATAGAAGTTAGCGCATTAGGACCTGTTTGATGCAATAGGTAAGTTCTGAACGAGACTGGTTTTTCTTGTCTTGTGTCTGACTAAGGGTGTGTTTGACTCTTCACAGAATGAGGGCAAGTTTGACTGAACAGGTGCCTGATGTGTTCGCTCACTGCACAGTAACTGGCCCCCCTTATAAGTCCAGCCAGGTGTCAGCACAGTGACAGTTGGTGGTCCTGAGGCTGGGCCTCTCTGTCCTTCCCCTGGAGCGCTACTCTTGGGTCACGTTCCTGCTCTGGCAGAGCCAAGGTGAGCTCACTGGGTGACAGGGGTGGAGGGTGTTGAGGGTATGGAAAGTGTAGAAGGTGTAGACGGTGTGGTGGGTGAGGTGGGAGTTTGGGGGGAGCTCTGGTAGGAGCGCAGGAGAACTTTGTGCTTGGTGGCCACCTGGGCTCTAATCTGCTGCTGCTGGCTCAGGAACTCCTTGAGGCGTGTGGTGGTGAAGGTGAGGGTCTGCCGCCGCAGCCGCATCAGGTATGCATCCTGTAGCCAGGAGTTGTTGAAGCAGTCCTTGATAGAGGGACGGGCCCTGGAATGTACCATCACACACACAAACACACGTACACACACAAGTCACATTGGTTACTACTTTGACATTGCCTAAGGTGCATTCCTTAGCTGAATGGCAGATCTTAGCTGATGCAGAACAATACAGAAGGTCATGTACACACCAAGGGTAGCTGCACAGGATCTTCTTAAGGAACAGAGAGGCACTTTGGGACACGTTTTGGTAGAGCTTGCTGAGGTCAAACTTGGCTGCCAGGATTCTGGCCTCGGTCTCTGCTGGGTCGCTCTCCGTGAAAGGCAACCTTCCACTGAGCCTGATTATTATAGAATACAGCACAACACAGGTTATGAGTGGCTTAGTTGTGCAAAGTAAAGGTTAAACCATCTGACTCAGTCTCTATATCATGCCATACTGTGAAAAAAACAGTGTTTTAGGATGGTGAAATCTAAAACTTTCTTTACTTTTAGGTAAGCAGTAACACACAAGCATGTACAATGACAGACAAACAGAAGGACTACTAGATTGACAGACAGATAGATAGATAGATAGATAGATAGATAGATAGATAGTAGGAATGTAACAATTCACAGGATTCATAATTTGGTTTGATACAATACAGGAATGTCTCAATTTGATAAATTCTTCAATACAGCAAAAATAAGGAGTGCCTGAAATTCTGCCTTACGTTAATATGTTAATGTTTACTTAGTTTATTACAACATTCAACATTATAAAAATACTACATTTTATAATGATGTGCCATGGCTAACTTGTTAGCCCCAAACTAATATATATTTATGAGGAGCCTGCTTTTCCTTCTAGCCCTTGATTTTGAGGTAAAGAGGAAGCCATATTTTCAGAGGAAATCTGCTCTCAGTGTGGGCCTGCTTATTTCATTTTTATTCTATTTCATGCAATATAATCAGTATTAAACTAAGTACTTAATTTGAACTAGGCTGTTGAATGTACTGTTCGATACTTGCGTGTACCTGAATTGAGAGGCTGGTACTGAATGATACGATACTTTGTACTGTTGCACTCCTTATAGATAGATTGAGAGACAGATAGATCGGCAGGTAGACAGATAGATAGATACACACACATACAATGGAACTGTCAACAATAAGCACCACGTTAAGCAATGGATAAAGCATATCAGTTTGTCATTCTCATTCTCTGTGATGCAACAGAAGAGCACTGCTGTACAGCAGTGACCAGTACTCACATGATGAAGGTCAAAACACCAACGCTCCAGATGTCAGCTGGAGGACCCACCACGTCTCCTTTCAACATCTCGGGAGCTTTCAGCAATCAGCAGGGATTAAAAAGAAACACAAATTACAGGGCACATAGATGTGCTCAATTACTTCCAAAAAAAGTAAAAGAGAAACATGCACTCCAAATAGGTAAGGATGATCTTTTGAGAGGGATAAAATAGAAAGAAAAATAGCCTAGACTATTTGACACATGAGTAAAAAAAGTATCCGTAGAGTGATATTTCTTAAAAAACATGTAAACCAAGCCAACAAACTGTGCATCCTGAAACAGAAGGTTAATTTAGGATGGTTTGAGGTTGCATTCCTCTCTGGAACAGAAGAGACCACAGCAGTCATTACTTACACATGTACTCCAGTGTTCCTATAGGAGGGCTAAACTGTTTTAGGAAGAGTGGATTGAAGGTCTGAGCACTGCCAAAGTCAATGATCTTGACTACATTCATGTAGGTGACTATGATGTTGTCTGGCTTGATGTCCAAATGCAGGATTCTTCTGTTGTGCAGGTAATCCAGACCCTGCAGTACCTGCACAATGTAGGCCACCACGTCATCCTCAGAGTAACGGAACCTGGAGATGAATGAGAGATCAAAAATCTCCACAAACACAAGGGCCCCCAGATGAATGCCCGTGTTCTCCCTCTACTCCGTTCTGGTACCAATGAGAAGATAAATGAACATGCTTCCTGAAGCAACACTTAATAGCTGAATAAGTGTAACTTAATTCAGTAGTACTCATTACCTGGGATGTATTATCCAAAATGAGAAGAAATGCAGTTTAAGTAATTTACAACAGGATTTGACCAAATGGAAGTGGCTAGAACTAGAACAAGGCCAAGATCTTCTTGCTCACTACCACAGACCGTATTAATTCAAGTGAACAAACAACAGGCACTTGTTCTGTGATACAGTAGAGTTGTGTTTCCCGCAGAAGCAAATGAAGCACGATCACAGAACATGGTGTACAAGCCTGGAGGCCAAATAGACACTGACCTGTCAATCAGGCTGTAGAGGATTTCTTTGCCTGCACAACACTCAGAGATGAGCACGAGGTAGCGTGGAGTGACATAGGCCTCATGGAGGGCCATGATCTTGTCGTGATGCAGGGACTTGAGGATCTCGTACTCCTGCAGAACGTTCTGCTTGCTCTCAGGCTCATAAGGGACGATTTTGGCCATGAAGAGGTTGCCTGTGGCATTTTCTCTGCATTCACGGATAACACCAAAACGGCCTCTGGAACAAAACAAAGAAAGGAAGAAGAGACGTTTAAATAATCAAGATAATTAAAAATGTGAAGATACAATATATTTACTTCACTTTATCTTTTTAAATGTGAGTAGCCTTGCAGGGCCAGATAGGATCTCGTAACGAAAATTGCAAAAATACAACAAAAATGTTAACTGTCAATGACCATTTTTGGGCAATTTTATTAGCCTTTTTTTCACCCAAAGCTCACACTGTGTGAACACATGAAACAGACCAGCACATTTCCAGTACTTTTTGCTTTCCAAAGCTGTAACATAAAAAACATTATTTGGCCTTTATTAGGACCAACAGGCATTTCAAATTATTAAATGAAAAAAAAATCGGTTGAATCATTTTATAATTTAAATAACATGAAATCAAATCATGTGCTACATCGAAAGCAAGAAACAAGCAGCTATTTAGCACAATGAGTCATGCATAATAATGCTGTGACATTTTGGTAAAGGTGTAGCAGCAGTATTTAAATACCGCACAGTGCACTTACCTGACTCATGTTATTTACATAAAAAAATGCAACACAATTAAATGCATATATACAAAATGTTTAATTGGCTGACTGCAGATTGTGTGTTTTCGTCAGCCAACATATGATGATGCTGATTTTGGCTGATTCAAATTGAGCGTCCCTATTTTTTTAAATCTTCATTTCATTCAATTTAAAGTCTTAAAGAATCTGGGATATCCTGTACAGTATACAGTAGAAGACACAGAATCAATAAAATCACAGGTTTGTTACCTGGCCTTCTCGTCCATGAAGGTATACGGTTTTTGGGGTATTCCTTGCCGTAGAGTAGAGTCTCCTGGCTTACCCAAGGGAGTCCTGCGCCCTGTAGGAGTCACACGCCCAGATGGGGTCGCCCTCCCACTGGGAGTCATTCTGTTGGGTGTAGCAGCACCCTCCCCAAGAGGACTCAGACTTGTAACCAGCACTACAGGGGGAGAAAGGGCAGGAGAGGGCGTATTTTGGGTAACTGGTGTCACACGTGCTGTTGTGGTGGCGGGAACATACATGGGCACGGAGGAGATGGGTTTGCCAATGGAAGGAGGAGGGGAGACTAGTGGGGGAGGGGAGACAGGGGGGGTTTGGGCCATGGGTGAAACTACATTCACAGGACTCTGTGGTTTGGGGAGAATGGCAGGAGGAGAGAGTTTGGCTGGAACAGGCTGTACTGGAGCAGCAGCCGGGGCAGGGGTGGGTTTGGCTACAGTGATATTGAGAGTGGTTTTGGCTTTAGCTGGAGTGGAGGTGCTGGACGAGATGGGAGTCTGGAACTCAGGGACGTCACGGTGGGTGGGGGATGAATACGAGGGGGCTGTTGCTGGGGTTGCGGTCGCAGTAGAGACAGGAGCAGGGGTAGGCTGGGCAAGAGGGGCAGGTTGGGCAGGAGGAGCAGGAGGGGCAGTAGGGGCCTGTGCTGGGGCTGAAGCAGTGGGTGTAGGTTTACTCCCAGTAGGCTTCATAGGAGGCACGGTCATTGTGGAGGTCACCACTGTAGGACTCGATGCTGGTGGAAGAGTCTTGACGATGACTGTTCCAGTGGCCTTTTGAGGTACTGTGGGGCAAGGAATTTTTGTATTGAATAAAATTTCTTGTGGAACTCTTAAAGTTAGATACAAAAGTTGTGTTTAGAGAACGTTTTACTGCCAGGTTGTTCTTTGATTCTTTCACAAAAAACTCTGCAAAGGCTTTCCTTAACACTAAAGAGGCCTTCTTTCAAGCAAAACTCCCACAGTAGTTATACTTTTTATTTTATCTTTAAAGAGTATCTTGAAGTTATTATTTGACATATGGACACTTCCAGAAATAAAAAAAGCAGAAATGAGTACTAGGAAAGCACCATGAACTGTACCTGCTGCATCCAAGGTAACTTTCTCAGAGAGATTGCTGTATGGTCCTTGGCCAGCTTTATTCACACAAGCCACTCTGAACCTGTAAGTAGCGCCAGTCGGGAGGTCTGTGACATTGTAGTAACAATCAGCCACACCAGTGGCGACGATCAGCCAGTTACTTTCACCTAAAGAAAAAATCAATAATAAGGTGAAAAAACAAATATGCTAATGAAAGATCAAACACTAAAATAAACAGACACAGTATAATTATAGTAGTTTCTTGGATTAAACGCAGTGTGTAAATTTTGTTTACATTTTACTCTTGTGAGAAAGTTGAGATTATACTGACAACCCCTAAATGTGAAGAGGAAAAAGGAATTTACTGCAATACCCAACTTATCCAAATGATGGCAGTAAAGAGCTACTTGATGTTTCATGGAGACAAATATCTTCAATATTGCATGGTATAAATAGCCCGCTTCAGGAAATGCTAAAATAAGAATTAGAATTGACTTTATTAGCCAAAAAAGCTCACTTACAAGACAATTTTTTCTTGGATGTAGCTCACATTAAAACAAACATAGCAACAGTAAATAAACAGAATATTTAAGGAAAGAAAAACATCCCTTTGTGCTATCAGTGGTATTCTCTATAGATTATTTTGACATTTAATGATATTTAATAATGTCAATGATTTAATGATATTAATGACATTTAATTAATGACATGCCTCCACTGAATTTATTATTTTAACACGACTTACTGATGTACCATCACTGATGTCGTAACATCAAAAACATAGGTAAATAAAAAGTCTATTATCAAAACTAATTGAGGAAGCAAAACTAGGAGACAGTGGCTTTTACTAAATTGTAGCCATTCTGGTATTTTTTCCCTACCTGCTTTCATTATTTGTAGGCATGCTAGCGTTTTTCAGTGATATAGTCCTTTAAAGCCACTCACCCTCTGTCCTCCGCTCCAGGGAGTAGGTACATGGAGCCATGGTGTCGGATGGGCGCCACACCACTAATGCTGTGTTCTTATACTTTTGAGGAACTTCTGGAGTGCCAGGTCGGTTTGGAAGACCTAAAGATACAGTATGTCTGCAGTTACAACTTAAAGTTAAAAAAGTTCTGCAATACATTATATCTAAAAGATCTTTGAATACTAGTTGAGTAAATACCTTTTAAAGACTCTTTAACAGTTACATTATGTCAATACTACAATGGCTTTGTTCACTTGGGCTCAGGATGATATTTTCTATTACATATGACTGCTAAAGAACAGCAGGGACTTCCTAGTTGCAGGAGATGTTTTACCCAACGCACTTAAGTCTTCACAAATCTAAATAAGCTTTGGGAAAACATGTAAAAAATGTCACTGCAGTTTGTAGCAAATCACCAATTGTGCAATGTGTAAAAGTCTCATATGGAAATGTAAACGTTTTCCATATTGTCACCCTTGAGCATTTATCTAAATGTGTGAAAAATTACAGCTCTGAGAAAAGAGAATATTTCGCAGTCCTGCAAGTGAGTGACCTTGCTCAGTTAATCGGCAATGGGGTAGCATTTTGTAGAGGAGATGATTTATGGCCTGCTGTCCTGTGAGTAAATGGCTTTGCACATTGATAAGCACCATATTAGCCTCCCCCTCCAATCAGAGAGTGGGCCGATTGTCACAGGAACTAGTGATGACATAGCCAGCAGCACAGCTGCTCTGATGGCAACGGGCTCCTCCCTGAGCCCAGCTGTAGGCTTTTAAACAGAAAGACAGATCATAACCCCTGTCTCACAGACCCACACAAACACGCATATCTTCTCTCTATCTGCATTTCTGTCCGTATCTCTGTCCCTTTTTGACTTTCTTACAACATTCTCTCTTCCACTCCTGTTCTCTTCTTCAGATATACAGTGGATATAAAATGTCTATACACCCTTAATAAAATTGCAGGCTTTTGTGATGTAAAACTAGAAATCAACATAAATCATGTGACATTTTTACATCTTTAACGTAACCTTGCAAACAACAAAATTCAAGAGAAAGACAAACAGATAATTATTATGAAATATAATTAATAATACAAAATGCCAAGACCCTGGTTGCATAAGTGTGCACACCTTCACCACTAATACTGTGTTGAAGCACCTTATGCATTTACTACAGCCTTAAGTTTTTGTGCCTTGCTATTTTATCCCACTCTTGCTTGCGAAAAGGTTCGAGTATTTCAAAGTGACAGGTAATCTCCTGTGCACAACTTTCTATGAGATTCAGATCTGGGCTTTGTTTTGGCCATTCTCAGACACTGATCTTCCTTTTTGAAACCATTTCTCGGTTTGACTCAGATGCGGGGTTTTGGTGAATTTCCTCTTCATCTTCAATTTTCTGAAAGCGGTCAGTGTATGATACTTGATACTTGTTAGTCAATATACCATCTATCTTGACTAGAGATAGCAGTGTCCCTGTGTTTTTTTCCCACCTATTGATGATAGTATTCACAGTGCTCTGCTTTTGATATTCTTTCACACTATTCTCCTGTTTTGTACATTTTAAAGGTGCTACAGAATGGAAAACTATATTTACATTGGCAGAGTTGAGTAAGAAGAGTTCGATACATGGAACTGACATTTCGTAAACCTTAAACACTGTTGTCTCCTCCTTTGAACAAAAATCCCACATTTGCAAAAGTAGTAAATAAAAAAGCGTGGTAATACTTCAGAAGTTTCAAAATCCTTCAGTGTTACATGATAGTCTTGACTCATTAATATTCTAGCCCAACAGGAAACAAGGACAACAGTGCAACAGCAACGAAACAGGAGGCTATGTACAGAAATGTACAGCTCCAGGCTGTGAAGGGGATGTCTGCACTTTTCATACCTTTTACAAGGAACCGACTGTCAACGGGCATGACTGATGTTCATCCTTAAACAGGGAAGATGACTTCCTATTCACCAGCTTCTTAATCGAATGTTCTGTTCCACCTTAAATGCTACACCTTGTACATGAGCCAGAATGTAACTGCGGTGCCATTTAAGGTGGAATGGAAAATCTGCAGAACAAACTAGCAAACAGTAAGTCAACTTCAGCTCCCACATGTTTAACAGGATCTTGAACAACCATAATTCAAAGTAGTTAGTTTGCTCTGCACACTCTGGACAGACAAACCTTGGACAATATCGAGCAGGCTCTGCTCAGCGTTTGACACTGAAGAGAGGAGCAGTTCCAACTTTATTAGCATCACATCCCCAACAGAAACCTATAAGTATCTAGCCATGCTGTGTGATTTTAAACACTTTTTGATGGTTGAAACAAGACGTTTCATAGTGAGCTATAAATTTTAATTTACTTTGTGTTGTTGTCAAGATCAAAGGCAAGTAGCTAGGTATCACAGGAACCATTAGCTACTAGCAAGCTCCAAGTAACAAGCATAGCGAGCTAAACAGTATGAGGTCCTAGCTTATTTACATGGCAATTCAGTTTACTTTCCTGCCTGTGTTGCTTCTGTGTGAGCCATCGCGGTGCCTTGCTGTAAACCAGCAAATCACAGCCGAGCTCATCAAATTATTCATGAGTGCACTATGAAAGGGAAAACAGCTTGTTTTATTCTAGGGACAAATCACAGGGTTGTAATTGGGCGTGTAAAACCGCATCTGGGCATTTTTTGCCCCGAGCTAAGTTACATATCTTCTATGTAGACATCGGAGAACACTTTAAACTGCTGAAATGTAAAAAGGCTACAGGTTCACATTAAAAATGTGATTTATCTTAATGTCTGTGTTTACATTACAAAAACCTGCAATTTCAATAAGGGTGTGTAGACTTTTTATATCCATTGTATGTGCATTTATGTGTGCATATGTGTGCCATCCTGTGTTGTATGTGTATGCATGTGTGTAAAACTCACGGGCAAGGGAGAGTTTACAGGAGCTGGTGACAGAGGCCAGTGGGTTTGTGGCCACACATTCATAAAGGCCTGCGTCATTCTTGGTGGTCTTCATAATCATCAGCAGTTGTCTCCCATCAGGGCAGGAGATCATGTTCATCCTCGGGTCAATCTCAAGTGGCTTTTTATCTGAGCATGCACAGTCATCAAAAGAGTAAGACAATGACGTTATGCAACTTCTTTTGTCTCATCTAAAATCTTATTAATTTTGAGAATTTCTAAGTCACAGCTTGGTGATCCCTAAATATGCTGATGTTCACATTCACTGATTTTTTTTGGCTTATGTCGTAAAGTCTGACTTTGCAGAGACACTGACATTTACGTCTGCTATAAATAGCTAAAGAGTGAGCAGCTATGGCAATGTCAGCACAGTCTATTCACAGACTACAATTTAGCAAACATAAAGCCAGTGAAGTAACACATTTAAGGGTCTGTTCTGAGACAATTTTGCCCTGACATGATTTGGCTGATTAGATAAGCAAAGACTCACTCTGAGGTCCTCATTTTATAGAACAGCATGGAGTTCATGCTTTAGTGTTTAGCAAATCAATTCAAAAATTGACATTTTTCTTCTGCTGCCATTACCAGAAGTGCACGCAGAGCAACAGACGAGCTATTCTGTATGCCATTTAATAGTGCAAAAGAAATTTTCACTGTCATGCACATCATACAATTTAAGTCTGATGTGTAAGAAATACTGAAAAGGACCATAATGATTTGCTAACTCAATAAACCATTCTAATTCACTACTGACTCAGTACTCTATGCTTTAGTTATGCTTTCACATTTCTTAATAAATCATTGTGAATCAGATATAAAACATAACTCCTGATGATAACATGCACATCACAAACCAGATGAACAGTGGCACAATAATTTAAATAAAATTTCAGCACATTTATATTAATTTCGTCAGGGTATGTTGTATAATCAGTGAATGAATCATCAGATGATAATGTACTGCATTTGACTTGGTTTCATAAGACTGAACTGTGTAATATCTAGTTTCAGGGTTGGCGAGATCAGACCTTTCATCCATGCGATGTGTGGGTGAGGACTGCCAGCAGGCAGGCAGCTGAGAGTGACTGGATCTCCCTCAAGGAGAACATGGTCCCTCAGCTTGATATGAAACACTGGAGGAAAGTCTAAGAACAGACAATTTGGGATGTCTGCATGAATAGTCATTTCAGGAGATTCTCTTCATAGTGCCAAAACCATGTTTACATAAATAATTCACAGTGATAAATGCAGAATTATGAAAAAGGCCTGCAGCATAAAGCAAAATGCAAAAAAGATCAAAGACAAATCTAGAGTAAGCTAAAAAAAACTCAAGTTGTCATGTCTTATGTACTGTTTGAATTAAATGTTTCATATAAAAAAATAACAGAACACTAGTCGATTAAAAACACAGGCATACCAGAGGCCATACGGGAGTACTGGCGAGAGCGGAGGGAGCCATTTTCTCTGGCAATAGCAGTGGGTATGTCTGGCTGAGAGACAGTCTTGTCCCTCCTGCCTCTGGTCAGGCCCCATCTGTCCCATCGTGACCTGCGCTCAGTCTCTGCACCTGGGAGGGAAAGAACATGAAGCTCAAAGCCAACAATAACAACAACATTTTATGTCAGTGAAATATGGACTGTTACATATTTATCCTTGTTTGACAGATGGCAAGCTTTGGTTACAACCAATTGTATCACCAATCACAATACACTTCCATTAATCAAGGTCTTTATATTTAATTCCCGATAATTACTTAAGATGGGGCACAGTACTTTTCAAAAAGAGCAAAAACTTGGACCCATACCAGCCCATTCTACAGTGAGGGCAAACAAATATTCTGACACTTTTTTGTTATTTAATCTAATCTACTTTGTTAGTATATCTACTCCAAATTTACAAATGTAATGTATTTTAACTTTTAACCGTACTTATAAATAAGAACAAAAAGTATGTATTTTTAAGCATAAACAAAAATAAGTAGAAAAATGAAATTTATAGGGAAAAATACTATAAAAATATACACTATATTGAAAATTCATATATGTAAAGGTTACGTAAAATATATCAAGTTCTAGATATTAAGATCTCAAAATGCGCTCTCAGATTAATGATAAGGAAGGTATGAGAGAAGGCTACAGTCATTTGTAAAGAGGTACAGGATGACCTGAAATCAGCAAACAATAAAAAAAAGGAACTGCACCCCAATCATCTCAATTTCTACACTCCACGTAAACTCCTCTGCTAAAACCAACAAAAACAACAAGAGCTTTGTAAAAACAACAACAGCTTTGCAACAAAGTTTTTTAGACATATCTTTGTTAATAAAAACATACTTTTTTGTTTATACTTTTATATATATATATATATATATATATATATATATATATATATATATACATATATACAGTCAAAAAATGTGTAAATTTGAAGTGGATATATGCACTAGAAGTATATTAATTAACAAAAACAAAAGTGCCCGAATACTTGTTTCCCCTCACTGTATAATCATGTTCAACACCACAATTAACATCATCGCATGCAATCAATTAACTGTCATCTAACATACTTCTGGCAGCTGATTCTGACTGGATGCTAGACATAGAATCCAAAGATTCAGAGGAGGCCCCAGTGCCCGACTGACTGGCTAGTTGATTCTGTGGGATGCCCTGTGGGATGCCCATTCTCTTTAGACTGCCTCCCTCTGAGGTGGAACGGCGTAGTATGGACAGCAAAGGAGTCCTCTTGGTTTCTGTCTTGCCCTCCTTTTCATCTTTCCTTTCTTCTGAATGGCTTCTGATCCTCATGGATAAACCGCTCACTGTGCTGCCAATTTTTCTGCGCATTGCTAGAACAGGGGACTCAGTTGGTTTCTTGGTCTCTGGCTCTGGAGGTGTCTCTGGACCGCCGTCCAGCCTCATCATCTCCACTTCCTTTTTGTCCTGGGACCCTCTTCGTCCCAAAGCCCAAGACAAACGACGCCTTGGGGTAGTTAATTCATCCTCTTTGAGCTTTTCCTCTTTCCTCTCCATTGACGGGGTCCTCCTTAGGCGCATGGACAACCTCCTCATGAAACCTGGGTCTTTCTCTGCCTCACGGAGATCTTGTACAGACTTAGACTTCTCTTCCAGCCTCCTGGGTACAAACTCCAGAGGAGCACCAATTGGTCCTGGACGATACATCTCCTCTGTCACTTCAGGAGCAACTGTAGAGAGCTTTTCATCTGTCTTTTGCCAAGAAAGACGTTTCAGACCACGGGTGAGAGAAGACTCGCGCTTTTTAAAACGAGCCTCAAAGACTTCTTCAGAGGCAAGGTCCTGGATGTGACTACCAGGAGAGGGCTCTCTCTTTGGGGAAAGAGTGGGAGTCTTAGGTGGACTTGGCTCCTTGGCTGGTTGTTCTACTGATGCAACACGAGAGAAAACCGCAGGATGTTCAGTGGTTTGGTGAGTATCAGTCTTAGATGATGATGGGGCAGATATGAGAGACGGCTCTGAAATATGTCTGGACATGGATGCATAGACAGGCACAGATGGAGGAGCTGGCACTGAGACATTTGTGGATGTGGGAATGGCTGCTGGCTCACTTGGTGTTTGCAGTGATGGGACTAGGATGGTCTGCATGACACTTGCATAGGCAGATGTCCTGCCATCCGGAAGTACTGTGCGGGCAGGGGGAGAAGGGGTCACATAAGTTGAGACAACACTCTTAGGGGTATTGGCAGACACTGCAGCTGGGCTCACTACGGAACTAGTGGATATGGTGATCTCTGAAGCATTAACTGGTGCCCTCTCATCTTCCTCAACTTCTCTGACTTTCATCTTAGCAACAGAAGGTTCCCTTTCTTTTACAGGTTCTTTTACTTCCTCTTCCTCCTCTTCAATTCTTTCCTCTAACACAACTTTGGGCACCACAGAAGGTACTGACCTACTTCGGGGAACATTCTCAGGTTCTTTGGCAGTTTCCTGTAACATGCACAAATCTTTCTTTAGGACACTAGCATCATCATGTTCTTCTACAGCGTCAATGTCTGCTTGTTTAACTTCCTCATACTGACTGTCTCTGACAGGTGAAGGCTCCTTCTCTTCTGCCTGTACCTTTGTTTCATGTCTCTTTGGTTCAGGAGTGAGTGGTTTGGGCGTGACAGGACGGGAATCTTGCTTGACTTGCTCTGCAAGAACAGACATAGATACAGCTTCTTGCAGTCGCCGTTCCTCTATCTGGGCAAGAGGAATCTCTAGAGGAGCCCCAATCCGCCGATGCAGGGGCATTGGCTCAGTGTCACCCTGGCTGAAGGATGCACTCTTGCGGAGCACTTTGGTTTTTGGGATGTCATCTCTTGGTGATTCGGTGGATGCTGCCCGAACTAGTGGAGGGTTACCTAAACGAGCCCCACGCATAAAGCGCTTCTCATCTCCCATGCCTAAAGTCTCTAACAGGGGGCCTCGAAGACCACTCATCTTGTTGTCCACAGAGCCTCCTCTGAGGAGTCTCTGTCTCATCAGCTCCAGTTTCAGAGCATAATCTTCCTGACTCATCTTGGCAGCTCCTGGGCTTGGGCTTCTGCGAGGCAGCTCCATAGACACAGACTTTTTAAGGACTCTTCTACCATCTGTTGGACTCTCCTCTGGACCCTCCTCTGGCTTGATATGGAGTTGCAGGGCACTGTCTGCTGAGCTCCCTCTACGCAGCTCACCTCTACGACGAGCTCCCTCAGGCTTGTCAGACTCCATACTTGAGCCTCTGCAAAGCGGTCTCTTTGTTTGCTCTGCTCGCTTGGCTAGTTCCCCTGGTTCCTCATCAGAGGAACCTCTTTCATCATCTTGTGTTGTCCTCTTCCTGGCTCGACCTCTTGCAGCACTATCACCAACCTCCTCTGATGACTCACACTCCATGGGCTCTGCTTTTTCAGGGCTTGATCCAGACTTCTCAAGGTTGCTGCTGGTTTTGCCCATCATTTCATCATCCCCAAGAATCTCAGTCAGTGACATTCTGGAGCCAGAGAACTCCATATTGAGAGGCATAGGTATGAAGGGCAGCTCATCAATGTCCTCATCAGAATCTGATGAAGATGAGGGTGGTGGCGAGCCCTCTTTTAGATGCCGTGGGACAGCAATGGAGATGTGGCTGGAGGAATCATCCAGCAGCTCAGGAATTGATCTCATCACCATTTTGGATTTATAGCTGATAAGAGATCGCTGTAAAATATTGAATAATTATTACTATCATGGAAGAAAGAAAGGAAGGAAGAAAGAAAGAAGTGGTAGAACATTTATTAACATTTCCTTACTTGCCATTTTCTTCTTAACAAGAATTTTTTGAGGGACTCGGTGCTGATGCTCTTTCCTTTGTTCAGAGTCTAGAAGAGACAAACAGCTATTAGCAAAACTGTGCAAAGGGTGTAAAGAATAAATAACCAGGAATAAAATGAGAACTGCCATTCACATCATCAACATGCATCACAGTTTAAGTATGTTAAGAACAATGGGCCTCATTCACCAGTTCTAAAGAAGCGATTTCTTTTTAAAATCCATTTACGCAGGTTTCACAGAGATTTTAACATTCATTAATTTCATCTTATTTGGGACTTGTTCCAAAACAGAATCTATGCACACTCAAGCACAAAGATGCGAACAATGCTGGGGTTTGAGTAGACTTTTGCTTAGGACCTTTCTTAAGAATAAATTCAAGAAAAAAATTAGGAACATATTGGTGAATAAGGCCCAATGATAGCTGAGTGACTTTAAATCTGATGCTTCAGTTTGAATGACTTTGGGTGTGTTAAAATCTAAAATGTATGTAGAAAAATTTTTCTATTAAGTGCTTTATGTGGCAATACATTCTGGAGCTCCTCCTTTATTTTTATATAAAAAGGATTCTGCTTATCAAACCCATTAAATCTGTTTGATATTCTCTAATTGCACTACTGGAAATGCACATTAGCTTAGCCAAAACATTATTCTTTATTCCTCTTTCTCATTTTGCAGTTTACTATTATTTCTCCACCTCATACCTTGAACCAAGGATGGCGAAGACACTCGCTGGCATCTGGTCTCCTGGAGAAAAAAAACAAGTACAAATGTTTAATAAATAATTAAGAAATAATTCACTGATTACTTGTACTGACGTATTTAACAGCACTTTAAGTTTGCACTTACAGTCTGTCAGCCACTAACAGTTTGATGACAAATCCCTTTGCTTCATGGCAGAGGTCAGCAAACATGCTCTCTTCAAAGGCTACGTTGTAATTTCTGATGTTAAGCACGGAGCTTCGGTCATTTTCTCCCGCAAATGGAGACACTCCAGTAAGACTGCAGGAAAGAGAAAAGTTAGTTTAATAAAAGTCATTTACTGTAGCTTATTTGCAACTGTACACTTAATGGAAGACATCAAAACAGTGAACGTACAATTACTGTAAGAACAACTGGATGCTTTCATTTTTACTCTTAAACTCCTTAACTTTCATTCTTAAACTTGTTAACTTGACTTATTGATCACAGGAATTCAAACCTACCATAGATAGGTCAGGACACCAACAGGCCTGAGAAAAGAAAATAGGTTTGTAACACATTCATGCCATGTCACTGTATAAACGCTATATTTTTACACCACCTAGTTGTGAGATGGAGGTATCAGGTCCTTTACCAGATGTCTGTTGCCTTAGAGACTGGTGTCTGGTTAACAATTTCAGGTGCAACAAATTCTGGAGTGCCATATTTGCAGTACTGTGCTTCATCGAGTGTGAACTTCACTGCATTCCCAAAATCACAGATACGGATCTGGTCGCTGGTGGGGTCGGCCATGAGGATGTTGTCAGGCTATGAGCCAAAATGCAGAGGGTTGGGGTTAACAAAACTACTGTATATATAGGGCAAAACATTGCATATATAGTGCAATCTGTAAAGTGCAGTGTTTCCCAGTCCTAGTTCTGACATACCCTTGTACTGTACAATTTGAGAGATTTCTCTTCCCTGACAATCCTGATTCAGCTCACTGAATACGTAGCACATTATGAGTCACATATACAAGGTGATGAGAATATGAAAACACTAAAGCAATAAGAGGTGCCTGACCTGGATTCTCCATAATTTCTTACAAAAACGCAAAAGCAGACCCACCTTGACGTCCAAATGCAGGATGTCATTTTGATGTAGGTAGCTAATTCCCTCCAACATCTGTCTTACACTGGAGCGGATCTGTAAACGGCATACAAGAAATGAACGTACTATCTGGAAAACACACATCTCTTCTCAATCTTTTACGACATCTAGTATGTCCAACCCTGGTCCTAAGAGCTCCAACCCTAATGTACCAGTGTAGCACATATTTGGAGTGATGGATTTAGGACGAACACATCTGATGCAGCCAGTCTTCAGGACCATATCTACAAAGCATGTTAGTTTAAGATCTAATTACATAGGAGGGTAGCTCTCAAAAGTATAACTGAAGACACTAGCACTGCTTTCTTCCAGTGTCCTGCACTACATTCATCCAGTGTCCTGCAGTACATTAAAGGTAAAGTGGTTAGTGTATGAATGGTCATACTTGCTCTGTCAAGAGATAATTGAAGGACACATGGAAGGTCAAGAATCGTCAAGTTGGGGGCAAAATAGGTAGAGGGTTGTTACATCACAGTGTGTCACTTAGTGGAGCATGCTGGGAAAGTCAAGTGGGTCTCACCTCAGCCTCAAATACTGTTGATTTCTTTGTTAGCCTTTCCAGAAGCTCCTCGTGACATCTTTGGAAAATCAGTAAAGGCAATCACAATCACTAGCAGTTCTGGTACATGGCTCTTGGTAATGACAACAACTTTAAAAATGACATTATCTGTGTCTGTGTCCATCTGTGTGTGTGTGCATGTCAGAGAAGGAGGGAGAGTAAGAGAGACAGAGAACACTTTGTGTATGTATAGGTGTGGGTAAAGGTGTGTGGGTGTTTTTCAGTTAGATACTTGCAGTTTTGTCGTTTACAGCATTTACATGCATATCAATGGTTTGATATAATTTATTACTGTTAGTCTAAGTAAGACAGGACTCTGGTCCTGGTGGGCCTGTGCTGAGCACAGTTTGGTGACTTCCCAGCTCAAATATACCTAGTTCAACTTATTTGTTAATTGTCAGATTTTGTGGGTTTGTTTGGATAGTGGTTCTACCAAACTATGCTGGACACTGGCCCTCCAAGATTGAAGCATCCCTGAACTAAGATATGATGATGTAAACAGCATGGTTTAACTGTCATGGTCCAGATAAGAACTTTGTCAGCCTAAGCGTAGTGTGATTAAAACATGCGACCCAGGTCAATACTGCCTGGACAATTCAAGAATGAGTTGGTTATCAACCATCTGACATCTGCCATGATATGTTTATGGCATAATTATGTGAATATTATGTAGCAGGGTTCAAGTAAAGTGTGGCTAAAACAATTTGTCAGAAATGGACACCAGAAGATACTTAGATGTAAGCATGAAAAAAAAGAATGCGGACAGTGGGAAACTCACACATGGGTAAACCTAGAAGCGCTACGAAGGTAGCATTTCAAGCTATAAAGTCAGACTATGTTGGCGTGCAAGTAAACGGACTATAAATGGACCAGTCCAGTCGTTCCCAACTCGCTCCTCAGACAGTCCATGTTCTTCCTTCAACTTGTTGTTTGGTTGGAGCAAAAATATGAACAATCTGGGGGGCACTGAGGACCAGGTTGGGAACCACTGGACTAGTCTTCTATACAGCTCATGTCAACATCTTGGTTTGGACAAGTTTTTTAGTCAGGCTGTTGTGTACATGTAAACGAAGTGAGACAACTTTGGAATAATAGCAGCCAGCAAAATGAGCCAGGTATGGACAACTGGGGTTATAGGTACCCATGTCTCATGGTTGTGGATCAATTATAGCTAGGCCTTATATGTTTTATATCCTGACTAAAGATGCATTAAGTGAATAATTCTAAATTCACAGTGGTATTTTGCCTTAGGCCTCATAGTGAAATAATGAAAATAATGAAAAGCGTACATCTCAGTGATGATGATGACGGCGTTCTTCTTCTCGAATGCGTCATGGAAGTAGATGATCCTTTCATGGTCGAGGTGAGACAAGATGTTCATCTCCCTCAGGGCCGAGGCTTTTCTCTTGGCACGAGCTGAGATGAACTTGGCTGCATACTCCATCTTTCCTACCTTGTGTGTCACTCGCTTCACATAAGAGAAGGCTCCTCTGGAACAGAACAGAGGTAAAGAAAAATGAACATACTGCTATATATATAAGACAACTATGTCCCAAAGGCAACTGCTGTGGTCACTATCTTTAGTCAAATCACATTGATATGTTTGATATATGGCCAGAAACTCTAACTGTTGACGAACTGTAACTGGGCGCACTTGAGGACAAGAGAGAGAGGGTGAAGATGTGCTCGGGGAGTTTGGGACAGGCGAGGTGAAAGACCACTGAGGGTAGAAGAGTGAAAAAGAGGAATGGGGAGGGAGTCATTCAATTTTAAAGTGCAAATGGCCTACGACGTCTCAGAAAAGGGAAAGTGCCTCCAGGGAAATCAACAGCTGAAAAGAAATATCATTTAGCAAATGGAAAGAGAAAAGATGATGACATTTCTCACCAGCGATCTATGCATCAACCTCACCTCAGTGCTGTCATGAAGTACACTGAATACAAAAGTGCTTCTGTGTCTCTGGCAGAAAAATATGTTCATGTTTAGAAATCAGTGTTCATTACTGTATGTAAAGCCAGTTAAGCCAGACATTTGCTCACAAGTGAGGTGTGGCATTTAAACAAATATATAATTAACAAAAGACTCTGTTACTTTGGCCTAACTACACATAGCTAATTAAGCACTGAAATGTGCTGGAGTCCCAAAACGCTTTGCCTTGGAGGCTACAGTGCATTGTTTGTAGTAGAAGAACAAAACAAAAGACAAAACAATATGCAACTAAAGAAGTTCTTAAAGTTTTTTGCAAATAAACAATATTTTGTTAATATACTACTTTAAAATACAAATATAAAAGGAAAATAAAAAGTTATTAAGTTATTGGGTGAGGGGGTGGGCTTAGGGTAACTCAGAAGCACATTTGATTTCACTGGCAAGAAAGTTAGCCTAACCGAATCCATTCAATGAGAGAACAGATGTATTTTTATTCGAATAATAACTTACTGAATGGGCACACATTGGGCAGCCCTGTTTTAGAGTACTTAGACACACCAAGTTTATGATATAAAGGCAGGACATCTGAAAATTATCCACAAGGTGGCGCTATTAGCACTCCAGTAGTTTTTGGTACTTCATAAGAGCGGTGCTTTGTATCAAGTATTTGTCCTTGTTTATACTTAAGAGGAAAACGTGGCTACTTGTGCTGTTTAATCCACTCTTCTGTTAATCATGTGACTTCTCAGTGCTGTTGTATAAAATGTGTTCTAAAAACACCAAAAATTAATTACTTTTCTTTTCCTTTTGTCACAAATTTCCTTTTTGAACAAGAAAACACATGACTAGGAATGTCGCACTTCAGTCACATTTTTTCAGTACTCTGCAAAACCCAGTCTATAATAAGCTCTCACTGATCTGAACTGAATTGTGAATGTGCTCTCGCTTGGAAAAAAAATCACACTGCATGCAACACTAAAGGAAGCCTTGTGCATCTTTTATACAGTTACAGAAAACTCAGTCACACACAGAATACTCCAATGTTGATACAGTTTATTGTGGTCAGTGTAGACATGCATGAACAACTCCTGTGGCAGCAGATTTAAATAAGCTAAATCGACAACCACCAAATTTTAAGAATTGCTTGCTGGTCAGATGCTCGGTTTAATAGGGTTAAATCCAAGACTGTAAACAACTGTTACACCATCCCCCAAAACACATTAGACATAATTCAATGGAGTTTGAAACCAAACATTTGGCATCAGGATGAAACACTACAGAAAGCATTTAAGGCGTAATTGTAAATGTGTGTGTGTGTGTGTGTGTATGTGCCAGCTGCCTTGCCAGATTTATGAAAACTCTTAGTCAGACAGCACAGTCCAAAAGATTCTCAATTAAATGAACAGAATCTACCAATGGATCATAAAAACTTCACTGGAATTTCATGTTTAAAAGTTTGTAGGCATTCACAACTCTGTACTGCTGTCAGAAGGGATAACAAAAATTATAATAATAATAATTATAAAATAAGTTTTTTTCTTGTTTGTTTGTCACATACTTAAATATATATTTGAACAAAAAAACAAATATATATTTAAACAAAAATCATTACATTATTTGGCAAAGAAAATTAGTACAATACATAACTGCAGTAAATGCCAGATTTCTAAATCAATATCACGTCTCCTAAATACACAAGCAGGTGCTCAGCACAAAGTGTCCCCCTCAAGTGTCTGGCCACAAAAGCTGATCGGTTGAGACACGTTCTAACCGAATGGCGCAGCACAGTTTTTTCACAAACACTGTATCACTCTGCTGAGACGTCGTTGCTAAGCAACGACTTTGACAGCTGTAGGAGACGCTCAAGCCATTTGAACGTTTTTACTTCTTACTTTGCACACAAACAGAAAATGGATACTTTTAAGATTATGTTTGACCTATAGCCGATTTGGTCAGACTCTGAAAATGAGACTACACTAAATTCTGTCATTACCACTAAAACTGTCATCACCACTGAGCAAGCTTTTTAGTCAGCAGCTGTGACAGAAGAACACCTTTAACAACCTGGAATTAGCCAGAAATGAACCGAATACCATTCGCCAAACAAGTTGGGCTGTAAGATGCTTTACAGACTGGCTGGAACAATAGAACATTAATATTTAGCAAAAATTGACAAAACTGAGCTAAACTTGATATTGCAGCAGTTTTATGGCTCAGTCCGTTTTTCAATAGGCGAGGCTTACAGCAGACTGTGCAGCGAGTGAGCGGAGTTCGTTACTCATAGCAACAAGCTGCTTGTTAAGGAACTATAATTTGGCGGAAGGAACTGCGAACATTAAAACATATAAAATGCCACGTTCACGACCCAGTTTATTAATTTCTTACTTTATTTATTTTACCGGTGTATAAAAGCAATAGAACACTCGAGGTTGTGTGTTATTGTGAATAACACACTCCCTCTCGTGTTCTATTGCTTAAATAATTTCCCAATAATGTACTAATCCCAGAAATGTCACAAAATTTTGCATATAACTCAGTCAAAAATGTACTAAAACCCAATAACAAAATAAATTGCCTAATAATGTAATAGAATGTCTTAATCGTTATTGTAGTAACATTTTTATCAATAATCTAATACCTTATCATATTATTGGGAATTTATTATATATAGGAGTTGACAATATTTTTTAAATAGATGATGACTTTTGCCTGATAATGTAACACCGTGTTTATTTTCAGTCTACATTCTACAGTTTGTGCATTAAACTTGAGAATATTGACACTGTACTATTAGCAAGTACCAAAGTTAGAGAATTCCGTGTTTCATAAAGCTTGACATTACTAAACTTGTGTACACACTGCCAGCGACAACAACACTGAGGCAGTCAGAAGCCATTACCTTTCAATGAGAAGCAGTGATGCTATTAGGAATGCTTTCTGAGACAGATGTAGGTCAGTCCTGATCAAGTATTAACAAAGTGAGTTTAAGTGCTTAGTCTGTTAAGCGTTTCTGGTCAGCTGGAGTGCTGAAATAAAAAGTTCAATTTACAAAACCCATTTCTAGAAAAGTTGGGACGTTGAGTGTGCTGCAGGCATCAAATTCTAAATTTGTTTATATTTACAAAATACAATTAAGTTGGTCAGTGAAAACACTGGTAATCTTTTCTTTGTACTACTGTCAGTTAAATGTTTTCTGGAAATAGCGTTCATAAATAAAACCTGATTTGAGTATTCCTTTATTCTTATAGAGCTGTTTTATCACCTACCAGTGCAGAATTGAAATGAATAGCTTTGCAAAGGTTATTATAATAATTAATAGTGAAATCACTATTAATGTGAAACTGTGAAATGTCACGCTTGGAAATGTAAAGTCTAGACTCTTTTTAAAATTTAGAATATAAGATGTATGAAACTTGTGTACTGTTACCAGAAAAAAAAAATTATTTAAACTTAAGATTAACAGCATGTTTTAGTATTGCAATGTATCTGAGCACAGCTTTTCCCTCAGGAATCAGTGAGGGCACTGGTGTTAGGCTTTTAATACTGGTATGATACAGAATATTCCAACACTGGTATTTCTGTAGGTAAAAAATTAAGAAGATAGAGCAGATCAGACATGGCACAGCTTTAATACCAACATATGCACACTGATTTATTGGGCTTTCTCAACTTAAGCTATAAACTGATAATGAAGTATCACATCATCAGAAAACAACACTACATTATCCATTTGAAAATTTCCCTATATTGTAATAAGGTATTACAAATGATCAAACTGAAAATGATCAAAGTGAAATGTGATAAATTCCCAATAACATAATAAGGTATTATATTATTGGTAAAATGGTATTACATTAACGGTCAATACAATGTATTACATTAATAGGCAAGTTATTACATTAGGTTTTTTTACATTTTTGACCAAGTGCACAATTTTATTACATTTTTGGGTCTTATTACATTATTGGGAATTTATTACAGCATTAAAAGATACATGGCTGACTGATGACAGCTGACTGTCTCATTTTCTATAACCGGGGTGGCCAGAAGGGTGGCCATGCTTCATTCTAGGAAGGCATTGGCCACTCCTGACCACCCCTTAGCTATGCCTCTGACAACAACGTACTTCTGCCCATTAGTGTTATTTTGTTTCTAATGTAAATACATTGTCTTATTCTGAGCTGCTAAATAGCTTACAAATGTCTCCTTACAATTTAAAACTTCAACTGAAGTCAAAATATATTGTTTTGTTTCTTCACAGTCATCATTGGCATGTTCTTACCTTCATGTGGTCATCGTTTGTTACTAACTAATTGGCCTGAAACATACTTGGAGCTACAGCAGAGGCAGCTTTAAACATTCAACTGGGCATTTTAAGGGTGGGCAACATGGAATAAATATATTATCACAACACCTGAATCACAATATTCAGTTTACTTTATAGTTTGATGGAACAGACAAAATGCACCAGCAGTACCATATTTAAAAAGACTATTCAAATTATAAGGACATTGCGTGTACACATACTGCACTAAATACAGTTAAACATGACTAACTATGCTCTCTTTGTGATAAAACATGCAGTTGGTCAGTGTTCTGCAAGCATTAACAATGTCCATAAAATGATCAAAAAAGCATACTGTGGTGCGTTTTTTCATTTGATTAGATAAAGATGCAAATGTTGAATTTTATTTTAACAGCCCTACAACTCTATCAGTCTCATAATATTAAAAAAATACAAACATTCAAGTCACATATTTATGTGCGTTGGTGTGAGTGTATCCTGCGCTGGCAGTAACAGAAGGTGTCTGAGTGCAGCCTTGTGTCTTGTGTGTGTGCATGGGCATGTGTGTGTGTGTGTGTGGAGAAAGCACTATCTGCCATCAAGGATTATAATTACAGCTCCCCACACAGGGAGTGACAGAGTGCAAAGAGAGATACGACTAAACAACAGTCCGTACTGCTCTCGACCCATTGGAGCAATCACCTCTCGCTTCCCCACAACAAATAACCCTTTCTGGTAATGTAGGCTGTTTTGTTGCATTGTACAGCTTCTAAGCTACTTACATGCCAAACCTGGAGGCAACAGGCAAGGTGTTGAGGGGTGGATCAAGCTGACTAAAGCATTTAAGATGAGGTGTAAATGGCTGACAAATCATGTAATGAGATAATGCCTATAGATTCTGAATGTGATATGAGGCCACATTAATAGTATCTTACAGATGGTAGTGTATGTTCCTTAAAGTGAAATTCAACTTCAGCACATCAAATTCCAAGAACTCAAACTACATATTCAAAAATTCTTTCACAAATTTACTGAAGAGAAAAAGGGACACAAATTTTAAAATTTTAGGCCATTTAACAAAATCTATAACAATATAATATATTATATAACAATATAATCAATATATTAAGTACATTAAGTTGTATTATACTTGAGTTTTACCCAAGGATTCTTAGGCCTAGTATTAACATAAGTGAAGTAATTTGATGACAAGTGAACAGTGAGACACCTGGCATTTCACTGTGTCTTGAGTATGTCTCCAGTGGTCGCTTATGATTGTTACTGTTACAAATGTTTGGATTGCTAATGCAACTTAAACAGAGATAAAGAAGGGAGATGCAGTTGATTAAGGTGGTCTCCTCTTTGCTGTCATGGACATGTCGGGACGCTTTAGTTCACACTACAAATGTTATGTGGTCATATGCATCCCTGACCACCTCTGAAGGTGGTTTAAGCAATCAGATTACAAAGCTTCTCTGTGACACACTGGACTGAAGATATTTGAAAATGTATAGATTGGAATATACATCCTTTCGCCGCAGTCACAGAGTTTCAGACCTGTCATCAGTGAGTGCAGATGGAGTTGATTCTCTGTGGCTCCAGACTGGTGTGTGCAGTCGTTAGAGGGAAATGGTGTGTGTCCAAGTGTGTCTGCAGGCGGATGACTCACCTCCCAATCTCCTTGTGCACGTCATAGTAATCGGTGAGCCTTCGCATCCTCCTCAGAATAGTCTCCTCATCCTCCATCGGGTCATCCTTCTCCCGTTTAGCTATAAACATATCAGACACAAAATCATGAGCGCACACACACACAAACAAAACAAAATAACTGTAATAAAAGAAGAAATTGAAACCGTAGCTCTATATTTAGCTGGTTGTCTCTCCATTGATTATCTAATTTGTTGGATAGAGTAATCTTTTTCTGGGCTGTAATGAGGTTTGTATGGAATTTAAAGAAAGGTATCAAAAATAAACAAAAAATTCTATAACTAATCTATAATTAAAGACAACAACTTTGACAGACTGGCTTTACCTAAGGGAAAGGTATTTTGGTTACATTTTATTTGAAGACTCCCAACATGACACATGCATAAGCATTGAATACAGTATTAATAAAGCAATACATGGATATTTATGAACAGCTTATGCCAGTAATTACAAGATGACACAGGATGAAGTAACAGCCATTTATTCCATGTATAACACTGTTATGAAGCATCATTCCTAAGTAATAGAACTTATAAGGCAGAGGCCTTGTTAAGAAACACATATATCAACTCTTTGGAAGATTCTGATGGGCTTGAACGAAAGTGATCATTCTCATACATATTTTCCCATTATAAGAACATTTATATTTCTGTATAAAACTCCTATACATAATGAAACTAACCTTGGTAAAATGTTATTTTTAAGTTTCTTGTCTATACTTCTACTTTGGTACAAAAGTTTAAGTTACTAGTTTTGAAATGTACTGAATATCAAAAGTAAATCTACTGAGTGTTATTACAAGTTTTGCTATAACTGTGTTATATTATTCTGATTAAAACAACTTCTATTTAGGAGATAGGCAGACTTGAACTAAGTTAGCTGTTTATATCTGCTGCCACAGAGGTCTCCTTAATAGAAATGGTTAAAGTATAAATATACAGAAGTAATGCATGGTGTTCTTTATAAGGCCTTATCAGTTTTACTACCTGGGAATAACACTTACAACAGTATTATAAAAAGAACAAATAGCCATCACTTTTTGTTTAAGACCCTTATATCAATACAATGTAATTTACTTCATAAGACACCTTATGTCATTTTGCGAATACTTACATAAGCTGTTCATAAATACTTATGTATTGCATTAAAACTATGCTGTTCAATGCTTATCCATGTGCTATGAAGTCTCTATGAAGGTAGCCTTCCAATAAAGTGTTAAAGGAATTTGAATAAAAACCAAAAACTTGTTATTTAGTTATTAATCTTAATAATACAACAAATGTAAGTGAGTGTTAGCATAACATGCTTTCCTTCATTATAAGCCACAATCAAATATGTCACATATGGGAGGACCACATCACTGCACAGTTTAGCATTTTCCCTGTATTATCACACCTGAACCTGATAATTAGCGGCTGAGTTTAAACGAGAAAGCCTGAAACTATGCATCAGTTTAAAGGTGTAAAAAAACAAACTGTGCAGTGCCCCCCAGCCTGAAATGTGTAATAAAGAAGCAATTCTCATACTAGTGTGAACGGTGAGCTCAGCCTTGCAGGAAACCGAGCCGGCCAGGTTTTTAGCAGTGCACGTGTATACCCCGGAGTCATCCGGCTGAGTGTTCAGCACTACCAGAGAGCACTCATTATCGTCATACACAAAGGTAAAATGGCTGCTTTCAGACAGGAGGACATCATTCTGAAAAACAACAACAACAACAATTCGCAGGACTGTTCTGAGTACTTCAACAACACAGGCCACTGGGCAACAACAAAGCATACACTAAAATGTGCTTACATGATGATCTCTGTTACTTAACCCTGCTTACGGCTGTAAATGGTGAACAGAATGCTCTGGGTGTTCTCTAAGGTTAGCTCCAGTTTACTGTTTTGCAGCAAAGCATTAATTGCCCATCTTTGCCATGGTTCCACTTGTGCATGCTTGGGTTGATTAGGACAGTCAGTGGTCAAATATAAAGCAGTAGCCTTGAGGCACATTCTGGAACATCAAGCGGTATATTTAACAGCATAAATTAGCATGCTTAAGAGAGTGTGGGGATTCTCCACGAGTGGTGAAGTGGGTGGAGAGTATATCTGTCACAGAGAAAGAAAGAAAGGCAGAGAAAGAAAGAGGAAAAGCAGCACAGAGAGAAAAACAACAAGTGAGGCAGAGAGTTCGAGTAAGTGCAAGAGCAAGAGTGAAAAAGGAAGAAAGAGAAACCGAGTGAGAAACAGAGAGAGAGTGTTAGCATTTGCAAGAGCACAGCAGGGAGGGAAGGCATGGCCTGATCTTTAAAAGCTGAAGGAGTGGGAGAGATGGAAAGAAAGAGCGAACAGGACAACTAAAGAAAGTGCAAGAGTGTAAGTGTGTATTAGCTATAGAAAAAGCCCAGCAGGGAGGGGGGGGCTCTGCAGGATCTTCAAGAACGGAAAGTCTCTCTAATGCTCAAAGCAAGTCAAGCTGCTCCTGCATGGAACGCATGGAGAATAGAAATGAGCTGAAGCTGTAGCTGCATCTGCAGAGACTACTCTCATATACTACCAATAGCAACCAAAAGAAACACTAGCAAACACACAGCCACGAAGCACCTTCCACCTCAGAACAAAGACTACAGACATGGCACAGAATAACCTGCTTTTCTCACTATGCTTTATCATTCTTATAAAATGAGCGACTCATTACTGCAAGTCATCCTTAATAAAATAACAGAGAAAACTTTGTAAAAACACATCAATTGTCGTATAAACCCAAATTTGCCAGCTCAGAATGTAAAGATAAACAAGGATATGAACACACCTTGTACCAGAGGATGTCTGGAATGGGCTTTCCTTCACAAACTACAGCAAAACGGGGTGTCTCACCAACACTCACATCCAAATCCTCCATAATGGATTCAAATGTTGGGGCCGCTGGAGAGAGAGTGGAAAAACAAGGGTGAGTGAAATAAGAAAAAAATAAAGAGAGCACGGGGGATATAGGATAACAGTGAGACAGTGAGAGAGTGTAGAAGAAGAGAAAGAAGGAGAGAAATATAGACAGAAGTAGAGAAATCAAGAGAAAGACAGAGCAGAAGAAGAGAAAGACAGAGCAGAAGAAGAGAAAGAAAGAGGTAAGAGATCAGCTAGAGGGACACAGCAGGAAAAACTGTCAGCAGACAGAAGCTGTCAGAGATCATTCTCATCAAGGTAATCCAAGTAACATGGTGAAATCTGTTGAGCATGAGTAGATGTGCTATGCTCACCTGCCATCTCCAGGGTGAGGAGACAGGAGTCTGTCCCATACGGGTTGCTGGCGGTGAAAGTGAGTGGACCGACATCACTGCTTTTCACCTTACACAACTTCAGTGTGTGCTGGTCATCATCAGGCATGCTCATCTCAAACAGACCGGCTCTGTTCGACAGGGTCACTCCTCTCCTACAAAAGCAGCAAAGCATGGTATAGACACGGCTTACTGCACAATACTGGAGGCTTTGACACATGACTAGACTAAAGGCAAAGCCACTGCAAGAGCTTTCTGTGATGAATTTCTGAATGACCAATATGAACAAATGTGAAAACAGCAAAGGATATTATTCTATCCCAGCTGGCCAAAGCTGCATTTGGAGAACCCACTAAACTGCTGTGTGAGGTAGATCTCTAACAGTAGATTTGGGTCCACAGGGTTTGCTTGAATAACTGCATGGACACTCACCTTTTCCAGGTGACCGCTGCATTGACGTGGTTGAGAGTGACTGTGATGCTGACTGGTTGATTCTCCACCATGTATACTACATCTGGTTTGTCGATGATGACTGGGGCCTCCTGAAGATACGGACCTGTAGGCACAAAAACAATTTTCCTCACTGTAAAACCGAAGTTAAAAACTGTCTAAAGTAGTTCCTTGGGAATAATGACAAAATGAAAACTCATTATTTAGGTAAAACCTTCATACCAAGGAAGATGCTTTGATGAACTTGAAGTGTTGCAAAATATACCCAAAGGTAATTTATGTTATTTAAACATCTGCAGGTATTTTTTTTTCTTAATCAACTGAAAAGTGACAGTTTGCAAAAGAAGGCAAGGCCATCTTTGTGTGCAGGTCTACCTCTGTCTACGAGCTGCACTGGGTCAGTGGCGGGAGATGGCTTGCTGAAGGCTTTGCTGGTGATGGACAGGACCCTGAAGGCATAGCGGACACCCTTGGACAGTGAGGTTACAGTGTAGGTGGTCTGCTTTAGACTGGAGGCAATTATGGTCCACTGGATGGAGCCCAGAGCCTGCTGCTGAACGGCGTACATCAAGGTGCTGGGGTCTGTTACCATAAAGTGTAAAGGTGGTTTGTATATTAAAACAACACTTCCAGGCTTTGATTAATCACGTTGTTTAATAATTTGGCTCCACTCCCTATACATTTTCCAGCTCATACATCAGCCAAGGCAATAAAGTCTGAGTGGTGATATAAAACAAGGACACTATGAGTTTACAGCAGGGAGAGTCACCACACGGCAGTAAATCTAAGCTTGTCTGAGGACAACATGAGCGTAAGAACATAAAACTGCAGCTGAAAAGTCTTAATGGAGAAAGTTCTTTCTTTCGTTTTTCCATTTTCATTTTCCATTTTTCAGATTGACAAAATGGCATCTTTTCCTATTCACAGAACAGCAGGGGCATCTGTTGTTGCTGGATTTTATTTACTTAAATTTTTTGTGGATTTTGGGTCAATATTTTTACCAGACATTGTGTTCAGCGGGGTTTTAGTTTACCGGTCTTGCTGAGTTTATAAATATTTATAATAATAAAAGAGATTAATGAAATAAAATCAATCAAGGAACAATTTATGAATATGAACCCATGAGCTGTGCCTTAATTAAAAGTCAGACTAAAAACATACATTTTAGCCTAGATTTAAAAAACCTCACATTATCTGAATTTCAAAAATTAGTTGGAACATTGCTGCATAATTTCTAAGCTTTGCATGCAAATGCATTTTCTCCTACTGTACGTTCTGACTTACAGAGACTGTCATCCAATCAGGACTGTACTTCTGCATACTCTCAAAAACAAGGCAATTTGGTATGCCCATGATTAAGGAAGAACTACAGTAAAATAATGTAATATACTGATATACTAAGAAAAAAATTGTTGGTATACCAATGGAGGGGTCCAGCCGTTTGGGTTTCTTCCAACTAAGGGTGATTGTTTTGCCAGTGATGGACTCAATTACTGGAGCTCCATCTGGAGGATCAGGAAGAACGTCTGCGAGAGAAAGGAGACAAAAAAAAGCTGAGCGGAACACACTTACATACACACATGCACACACACACATACACAGATATATGCTCTATCCTTTGAACAAAATGACAGTCTTATTATTTGGAGAGAGAGGATGAAGAGAGGATCAAGCACTGATTAGGATCATCTGTCTGATTAAAAGACTTGGCTTGAGGATGTCTTTTGAGAAATGATAATTAGAGAAACAGAAAATCTAACAGACTTCCAGGATCCAAAAGGATGTTTCTAGTACACTTTGTGCAGAAACCAAATATGGTGAGATGTGAAAAAATAATATTTACAGTGAAGGATGTTTTAGGATAAACAAGTAGAAGAGGTGAGCTTTCACCCAGCATAACCTTTCAAAAATCACTGAAAACACAGTCAACAAGCTCAATGGCAACCCCTCCCATCAAAGATTCCTAAAGTTTCAGAATCTTGCTTCTAGAAAACATGAACCCAAGGTAGCAGAGTCCCAAACAGTTTCTTTTCTAGTACTGCACGCCCGATTGGTGAGCATTCACGATCAACAATATGTTCTGACAATCCCACCCAACCAACAACCAACTTACGTACAAAATTATGCAGTATTCATTAAATATGAGACATAGAAATACTACAAATTGTAAACTGCTTAATGTACACACACTGGCCATCTAATTATGTCCATTTACCACTATAGGTGCACACTGTAGTTCTACACTCACAGATTGTAGTCCATCTGATTCTCTGCACAATTTGTTAGCTCCCTTTTTACCCAGTTCATCAATGGTCAGGACCCTACAGGATTCCTACTGGGCAGGTATTATTTAGGTGCTGAATCATTCTCAGCTCTGCAGTGACACTGACATGGTAGTGGTATGTTAATATGTGTTGGGCTGGTACAAGTGGAAAAGACACAGCAGTGTGTTGGGCTGGTACAAGTGGATAAGACACAGCAGTGCTGGAGTTTTTTTAGCACCTCAGTGTTACTTCTGGACTGAGAACAGTCCATCAACCAAAATATCCAGAAAGCAGAATAATGTGACCAGAAACTGACCACTGATGACAACTGATGACCATAAGACAGGTTAATAGTTATTAAGGCATTTACACTGTAAAATGTAATGTCAGACAAGTTTCAGACAGAAATCCAGATAATCTGAAAGGGTTCACAGACTTATTAGTTACTCATAACTAGTGTTTCATTGCGGGTAGCATTAAAACAATTTCTATTCCATGTACTGTGGCAGAAGTGATGCTGGTATGATGTTTCTCACCTGTTACATAAAGATGGGCGTAGCAGGTGGCCTTGCCCACCTTGTTGGAAATGACGCTCTTGTAGACGCCACCGTGAGCATGACATACAGAGCGAATAACCAGACTGTGAATGTCTCTGACTGCAGGAGAGAGAGACAAATAAACAGACATAGAGAGAGAGAGAAAAGGGACGTTAAGAGTGATACTGAGACAGAGAGAGATTCAGAGAGAAAATGAGCTAGAATATATTAGGAACGACACTTGGGCCAGAATATAAACAGCTCTGTATATCTCAGTAATTCTCAGCTCCTGACACCCTCATTTCCACTGAGACTGCAGTCTGGGAGCTTCACTGTCACCCTGGCCTCCATGCAGAGTGCTAAAATACTGCAATGGCTTACACTGTGTCATCTTCCTGTCTTCTGTGCTCTCGATCTTCTTGCCGTTGTGGAACCAGGCGATGGTGGGGTATGGAAGGCCAGCCACCTTGCATTTCAAAATGGCCTCTTTGCCCTCAATCACATCCAGGTCGTACAGTGGCTTAACAAAGTCGGGCATAGTGAAACGTTCCACCTCACTGTCTGGAACTTCTGGCTCCTCTGGAATGGAGGGCATCTTCTCTAACTTGGCCCTGAACGAATGAGTAAACGAGAGAGTGAGTGAGCAAGAAAGACCTTGATGGGAAAAGAGTCAATTTTTAATTACTAGTACAAACAAAGGGACCGATACCTGTTTGTGTTTGACATACTGTATTAACACAAACAAACAGCAGCAAGCAGACATTTCTATAAGCTCTGTTAAAGACTCTGGAGGATAATGTTCTCGGTTAGTGTGTGTTATGGAAATTTGAAATCAAAATACAAACACTGTACATATGTAGAGCGACTTGTGACTGCATGATTTAATGCTGTGTTAATGCTCACTTCCAATTTTTGCTATTTTCTTCAAAAACACCAAAAGGTATTTTTAAATGTGTGTTTTTCCAGTAATTAAAATATCTCTGATTTTGGGAACAATAGGAAGTTATTAAAGGGTAAGAAATATACTAAAATATACAATAAATTTTTTTTAGATATTTTCTAAGATAAGAACCAATTTCTTGCCTTATTATCTAACTTTAAACCACGTTTGAAAATACACTATGATCCTAAACTGAAAGAATTTCCAATGGTTATGTGCAATTTAGTTCAAGACTAAGCTCTTTAATCCATGTATGTGATACCAGCCCTAAATGTTTGTAGATGGAATTTCTTCTGAATTCAAGACAGAAATGGAGATGAATCTTCTGGAAAGGTTTTACACCAGATGTTGTAACATTGCCGTGAGGATCAGATTACATTAAACTACAAAAACATTAGTGAAGTCAGTTACTGATGTTGGATGAACATGCTCTATCTCTCCAGGGAACACCCTGCCACACTCCACAGCTCAGTGCTGGGGGGTTATACCCATCTAGCTTAGCACTGGGCATGGTGTACTTAGGCTCAAATGCTGCTGCACCAGAGCAGCCCATTCTTTTGGAAATGCTTTTTAGACAGATTATACAAGCAATGTATTTGGAATTAAACACCTGTGTCAATAATTGGTGCGCCTTAAAGTAGGTAATTCACTAATTAGAAGGTATCTGGATACTCTTGGACACATGGTGTTGGAGGCATTCTGGATATTATTTTTATTATTCATTCTTCACGTTATACAGCTTTCTCAGTCACTGTAGAGTCATCTACAGTTCTATCATTTTGGACACTAAAAAAGAGCACTATAATAATATTTCAATCATGCTATTCCTATATCTGCAACAAAATTGGTGTCATATTTTTAACATTTATTTCCAACTTTTTAACAAGACTTTATACCTTTAAACAGGAGATATTATGAGTCTAAAGAAGAAGAGTGAAAATTCTTACATCTGCGATGAGATTGCTGGCCGGGGTTCCTGCACGTACAGTTCTGCTGAACATTCAGCCTCGCCGTGTGGGTTTCGGGCCACAACTGTGTACAAACCTTCATCCTCGCTGCTGACATGAGAGATGACAAGAGAGTGTCGACCACCTTCCTTCAGGATACGGATATCCTCGCTCTCTACCAGAGGATGGTCTGTGATAAGAAAAGTACATTGCACAGACAGTTACGTTTACAAAACAACCACATTGCAGGCAGGTGCTCATCTACACAGCTTTATACAGAAAAGCTCTGATCACCATTAGCAATAACAGACAGCCCCCATACTCTTGAGTTTGTGTTAAGCCCTTCAGGTCAACATTATGGGTTATATCTGGTGACAAAAGTGTATAGGAGGTGTTTGTTTTTAAAACAATAAATCTGACTAATAAATTGAAATTATTTATTATTGTAATAATGATAACAACAATTTCAATTTGCAAATTACTCAAGCATGAGATGTGTATTATTCTATAGTATAAAAGTTTCTTGTTGTAAATAGTGTCCGTATTCTGTTGTGTTGGCTGAGGCCATATATGATTTTCCTGCACAATCAAGTTCCATTCAGTTTAAACTGAAAATATGCAATTAGTCATGGGAAAAAGTCTCTTACCGAAGTGACTCCAGATGACCCTGGGTGGTGGCGTGCCGCTGACCTTGCAGTCGAAGCGAGCGTTCCGACCCTCAATCACCTCCAACACATCTAGCTTTCGTGTAAAGAGAGGCCCAACGGATGCAATAACCTTCAGCTTGGCACAGGAGGTCAGCTCCTCTGTAGAAAACAAGAAACGGTAATCACTGTGGTAATGAGAGCAAGTCTATAATGAAGTGCAAGGTCTAAGTGCTCATCAAATTATAGATCAGTCCTGGAGGGCCAGAGCACTGCACAGATTAGCAATCTCCTTTCTCTAAAAGACCCGATTTAACCACTATGCTCTATGTTTGCTCTCATCTAGTCTGCTAGAGCAAGGAAAATATACAATACAGGAGTGCAGTTCTGCCCCCCTTTCCCACTAGCTTTCATCCATTTTTAGCCCAAATAGCATTTTTTGTCCAAAAACCTTTTAAAAGATAGAGGGTGAGGGGTCACAAACCTTTGGCTGTACTCAGTTTGCAAGTGTATGTGCCACTGTCATCCTCATGCACAGAGTTGAGCAGCAACCTGCACCTCTTCCCATCAAAGTGCATCTTACAGTTCAGCAGAGCTGGCTGAATGAGCTTCCCGTCTGACAGCCAGTCCACATCCATATCTTGTGGCCCGATCACATGACACTCAAAGACAGCTGTCTCTCCTGCCTTCACCATCACATCTCTGACCGGTCGCACAATGGCCAGTCCAGGCTCCGCTGGAACAGCTGGAGAAGTGAAGAGGGAAGTTACATGTTCAGGGTGGGTAGAAAATACCCTAAACTGTCTTTATTTAGGGCTGTTTTCCCAAGAACATGTATCTTGTTTATGCAGTAAAGCAAGTAAGATACACTGAATTACACATTTAAAACAAATAAATAACAGTTCTAAATCATGCAAAATGAATTGTTCCTGCTTTTCTGAAATAAAAAAAATTAATGTATTATGTAAACATTGTTAATGTTTCAAAAAGTACAGTTCATTCCCCAGTTCACACACAGAAACTAAGCTGCAGAAACAGCTCATTTGAATTCCTGCATGGTTCTGATGTCGCTACTACGTACATATACTACAATCTCCCATTTTCAGTCTATTTAATGCAAAGCAATGAACGGAAATTGGAAAATGGTTAAATACAACTCTTCCATGATTGTTCTCGTTTGTACTGCTCATGGATTTTTGTTACAGTGGAGGCTCACAAAGGAAACTGTGGTTTTCCACTTTGTTGTTGCTTTTGTCAGTTTGCTGTGTGTAGATTTATCTATAGGCACTGTCTAGTGTAGTGGAGAAGGTATTGCTTCAAAATATATATAAGTATAGCAGATTATGATTCTGTCACAGTAACAGACTGTGTGAGCAGCTGGGCGTTACACTGCACTACTACGGGTGGTTCATAAGGGCTACAAAACTAGAAAAATGTGTGAACATTCTGTATTTATTTACATTTTGCACAGCATCCAATCTTAGTTGGAAACGGGGTTGTAGCATGAAAGTATACTTAAAAACAACAAGCAATAAATGTTGCTTAAATGCTGTCAGGTTGTAATTATGCAATTGGTGAAACTGGCTTATTTATTAGTACAATCTTTAAAAATAAAAATCCTAACCATTTAAGTTGGGTCAAGACAGGAGTACCAACACACTTTATCCTGGAGGGCCCACAAAATGTAACAATGTAAATGTAAAATGTAATGCATGGGCTGTGAAACAAGAATACCCATGGATAATTTGCACTGACTTGCATGTGACTTGTCTTTATGAAAGCCAGTGCAGCCTGGTTGAGAGCCTGAGAACAGTCCACTACTGCAGTAGCCATGGCAAGTTTGATGTGCTACTAAATTTTGCATTGCAGAAGCACGGCAATACTGTATCATACCTGCACTCCAATATTACACTTTACCAGCTGAAAATGGCCCACTGATACAACCCAGTCAAGCCTGACTCACCCTGGCCTTCGCCTTGCTTTTATTCTCTATGTTAAGATTGAAACCTTATCTTTTACTGTAAAACAGTCAACTTTAAAATCATGTTTTGTTCATTTTTTTGAGTGAAATATTTTACACTTGCTGTGCAATAGGATACAATTTTAAATGTTTCATTTACAATAAAAATACATTACCCAAATGTACAGCTAGACTGGAGGTTCCTTTAAAAACGTCAGAAGCCAAAAATAAAGCTTTCAAAATATATCTTCATCAAAAAATTTGTGTAGACAAACTTATATCTGCTGTAGAACCAATGACTAGCATTCTAAACACAGAGCGCTGTGAGGAAAAACCTCATCAGCTGTTCAGAGGCCCTTAAGTGGAGTTTTGATGTGAAGTGTATGCTGGGGGAAGAGAAGAGGCTCTCCACCCCACTGCACCACAACCCAGAGTGGAATGTGACTGTAATGAGGGTAGACACTGTGACAGGCGTCTCTCCCACGCGTATGCACACATACAGGCACCCAATAAGCTATGCTCAACCTTATTCAACAAATGGAAGGATTGTGATGTGCCTTTATTCATATCAAGGCAAAATGTTTTAGGACCTTATTTGTGCTTTTAAGCCAGTGGCTTGCCATTAAAGAAGTACATCAAATAACATCCGTAAAAAGAAAATGTGCTTTTTGGTGAATGATCACAGGGTCAATATATTCAGGGCTCAGTATTTTCCAGAATTGTGTGTCCTCTGTAATTTTGTTTTGTAGAGGAGTTTTTTTGGTTGTTTTTGTTTTATTTTTGCCCAATTTTCTCCTCAAAGTTCTGCCAGTTCCACTTAGTAGCTAGGTCTTCCTCTATTACACAGTACTACCAAGCTGGGAGGGTTAAAGATAGTAATGCTTCCTCTATTCGAACTGCCACTAATGCAGTGTCACTGAACAGCTCAATTTGCTTGGACGCTAACTGCCAAATCTGTTACATCAACTAACAGACGCCTGCATTGGCTTTCATCATACTGTGTGATGGAGAGAGAGGGAGGACCTCCCTATGCACCAAAAGCCGACGGCAATTATCAATAGGAAAGATAAATAATAATAATAATAAAATTTCCCCTTAATATCTGTGTAGTTTCTCTTAGAAAACCATGAGAAGACAAAGGAGACTTTTGCTTAGGTCTCTCCTGCTGCTCATATGCTTCTCCTGAGCAAAAGATCTCAATAACCTCATGTGTCTCCTCTTGAGTTTTAATAGAGATCTCAGTAAGGTCACACACTGTCCTTAGTTTTGCCAAAATAATAACATTAACTCATTTTCATCTGCAACTAACCTCTCGTTGCTCCTTTATGTCTCCTGTGTCTCATGTCTCTTTTTTGTCTAATGCTATTTCTCCTAAGGAATTTTAGCAGAATCACCATTACATCTCCTGAATCAAGAGCAACATTTGAGCAGTCAAATATTCCTCTGGGTGGGCATCAATGCCACCATTTACTTGAAACAAAAGTCATCGATTTATACATAATTATACCTAACACTGAAAATCACACATCCAATCAAGTGTTTCCAAATTTTGACTGGAAGTGAACTCTCTTAGTTATTAGTTTTAAGGGTGCTGAAGTTCAATTTAGTTCAATGTTCAATGTTCAATTAAGCAAAAGTCTCACCTTTCACATCCAGTCTGCCCTCACACTGTTTGGTGCCATACTCATTGATGATCTTGCAGGTGTACACACCAGCGTCGGACTTCACGGCTGATTTAATTATCATCTCACAGGTACCATCTTCTGTTTCGCGGACAATATGTCGAGGACCTGTTTTTATGGTCACTCTGTCCCTCAGCCTAGATATGGAGAGGAAACAAGGACTTATTATTAGCTAGAATACTCAATGTGATGGAATTCCAAAATAAATTGATGAAAAGAAAACCCAGCTGATGAAGACCTCATTAATTAGTTAATGAGTTGTACCAGGTGTGCTATGAGAAGAAGAAGTAAAACAAAACAAAAATGTTCACAGTGTGGGGTCACCTGGACTGGGAGTGGAATCCCCCGCCTTATAACATAACATAAACATAAACTAATGGGGCCAAACTAATATAGACTGATTAGGCAGGAAATGCAAATACACTTGTTTCATGATATAAAAACAATGAATTCAAAGCAAAGTGAGTACAGTCCATTGCTCCCTGCTTTCCATTAAAAGCGCAATCAGGAATCTTTTTACATTAACATTTTACAGTGTATTTGTGAAGAACAACTAACTGTGTCATACTCAGAGGTGATTGTCAATAAAACAACTGCAAAATAAAGAAGAATTTAAAGTCTGTTAAGTTGCTTCTTTATGCCGCTTGCTACAGGTTCTTGCATTCCTCAAATTTTCAGAGAACTTGCTTTCACTTTTTCCTTCCAGGGATTTAAATCACTAATCTGGCAGCCACACTGTTGTCCTGAAATTCCTGACTGTGGAATTTTAAGCATCAGAATGACAATAATCTTTGGTAGTGAGATCCACTGAGGAAGCCTACCAATAGAGCATCGGTTTGGGCTGCCCACTCATTCGGACAGAGATAGTCACTTCTTGTCCCTCAATGACAGTCTGATCTCCAAGAGTAGCCTGTAAAAAAAGAAGATAACATGTTTATGATAGGACCCATTTTCTATCAAATAACATCATGATCTAAAACCAAACACAGCAAAATCACCAATGTAACACTGCTGATTTCGTCTCACACTGGGGATTTAACTGTGCATAATTAATATTACGCTGGACAGAGGTGCACTATAAACTTAAATTTAAAATGAAACTACACTCATCACCTGAACAGCAACTAACCTCTTAAACCCAAAGGGCCTTTATGTGGGCTCACACCTTAGTGCTCACATATCTGTTTCATAGCATTTACCAAATCATATTATATAGTGACTGAGTAAGTCTTAGGATTAATAAATTACATATTATAAGCACCTGAAAAGCAGGTGGCTCCTTGAATCGAGTGTCTATGATTTTCCGTGGTTCAGGGCCACGGTACACAGTCCCCCCGAAGTCCATTCCTTCTTCCAGAGGGCTGAGATACTCCTCATCAGACGTGATGGGGCTGCTGATGTCCATGGGAACACCCAGGTTCCCCCGTGGGTCTTGGCTGGGCTCTGAGGGGAAAACAGGCATCAAATATAAGATGCGTGCTCAGCTTTCATTTGTTGTACACATCAGATGTATTTTGCTCCGGAAGAGTGGGTGTTCTTGATTTTTTAATATATCATAATTTGAATGCATACTGCCTGTATATCCATGTCAAATGTTACATGACTTAAACTCTGTGACCTTATTCTGGTAATCGAACTGGTAATTCTTAACCACAGATAACGCAGGAAAACTCATTTGTGCCAGACAAGCTCACTGAAGTGTGAAATTCACAGACACTGGTGGGGAGTGTGCTGGGTGCTCTCCTGCCTCTGTAAGATAGGCTTTGGAGTCTGAATGCAGGGAGAAGAGAAGGCTGGATTAGAGGGAAGTTAAAGGTGAAAAGCAGAGGTTAAATATAAAAGGAGCCTTTTTGGACCTCAGGTGGCTATGGACAGAATAAATCCCATGATGTCAAATCCAATTCCCCACCAGTCCAATTTGACAATGAGGATATTCAGCTCTGTTGACAATGTACTTTTGTGGAACATTGTCCTTCTTGGGGATTGAGAAACTGAGGGGATTGACTTTGGGGATGTAAAGACAAACTGCTGAGCTCTTTATTTAAAGTTCATTCATATTTCAGAATCCAGAAATTCATTCATGGTTCAGAATCCAGGAATAATAATTCTGGAAATGCACACAATTCAGTAAGTTTTAAGCAATACAAATTATATTACAGACATTTAGTTTCAATAGCTGTTCATTATAAAATGAAGAGTTTCTCAATCTTTCACACAACCAACCACAAAAGCTTCCATGGCCCATGATATTTTACCGACATTTACAGTGCAAACAAATGTAACAAAATAAGCAATTGAGCCGTTCAATTTTGCTTGTTTTTATGCAACACAGTAAACACTAAAAAATAACCCAATAATTTCTAACTCATCTAATGAGTTAGCTAATGTTTGGAAGCTACCAAGTGCTAAATGACATGCTGAAGAAATTAAAGTTGTGAAAGAAGATATGGCTCAGTTCAGTAGGTTTAGATACATATTTGTTTAGTCTCCAATTGTCAGCTTAATTTGTTTGGCTTCAAACTTCATATAAAAAGACCTCTGAATATTCAGCACAGAACAGCAGTATTCTCAGTGAAGCCTAAAGGCATATACGTACTGAACATGATTTATTTGTGCAGTATTATGGGTGACAGTAAATTAATCCGATCATGCGCATAAATGCTAATATCTTGCACACCAAATGCGATTTTTGGAATTGCGAAAATTGTTTTATTCGCACTCTATTGATATTTGTGAACTTATGTCAGTAACAGGATCGTTTGCCCTCTGCTTCATCACAGACACTGTTAGCATCTCAAAAAGCAGCTCATACAGGATTTAAACTGATCTACAAACATCTGAGCTGTATGTGAAAGCTCCAGCTTCTGAATGGTGAAACTCTCTGTGCTCCTCTGTGCTCACTTTTCCAAAATGGAAGCCCACTCAGGGTCATCATTTGCCCATCTTGTGAGGAGCAAAGGATATCTTTTTTGCCTGAAGGCATGCAGCCTTTGTTGCAGTGCCATAAGGCTTGGTACTGTTGTATTTTTCGTTGTTTCGGTTTGTATTTGGTTTCACTCATAGGAGGTCCAGGCTCAGGATCTTTCTTTTTGAAATACCCTGTTTGTAACCAATTCCGTACAAACAAAAAAGAAATGTCTTACTTTGACTTGCATTGAAACTGTAACGATAGCTAGTAATTTGCCAGACTAACAAATGAAGGCAACCTAAATATGTTCTATTTTTGCAAATAATTAGTCATATTTAAAATAACATTTGGTTAAGTGTCTACATAAAAAAAAGACACAAACAATAATATACACAATCTATAAATTAATGAATCATACTAGAGGACAAAATCATACTATGCAATACAATTATTCAAGCAAATGTAAATGCTGAAAGTGAAAGTTCTTACAAAGGGGTTTTGCATCTCAGAGGTCATATGCAAGCAGGTTCACAGTGCATCTTGCACATGCACTGGGGGAATAAATAGACACTGTGTTCTGGGTTCTGCTTACCATGTCGTGTACAGTATGTATTTCAGCAGTTCTCACATTCTTACTGTAAAGAAGTGATATTTAGAAAGTGCACCAACCACTTACTCGCAAAAATGCTGGAAATATAAAAAACCTACTTTTAGAAATACATAAATGACAAAAGATTAGTTGGAAAAAATAAGTGTAAAGAAAAAGCAAATGTGGTTTGAATGAGTAGCTTGATATCGTACAAAGATCAGATAACATTTTTCTTTAACACGAATTCTACATTTTAGAATTGTCCAAGACTTACCCGACACCCGTGGCCGGATGGAGAAGGTGTACGTAGTTGAGTGTAGGAGCTCTGCTGTGGGTTAAATCCTGACTGCATTTGTGATAAACTGTCAGCACCTCTCTGACCGCCCCAAGGGATCTGACCACTAACCTTGAGTGGAAAATATCTCTCTCTTTCACCCCCTCCCTCTTTCTACCCCTTTTTTCTTTTTCTCCTTCAGTGTCAGAGACACTTGCAGGCATGCAACAGACGCGCACTGTACGCACAGGAGCTTCTCCTGGTTTCCATTAACAACTATTTAAGTAGAGAAGACAGCCATGCCATGTCTCTCATAGCAACCATCCTATTTTTACATTACAGGATGTCGTTCCGTCCTGGCAGAGGTAATACAGTGTCATTTCATTAAATGTACAGTAACGTCAATATTTGTCTAGTCTGCATGTTGCTGTGGAGACTTTGAGAGCACTTTTAGGTTATGTGAAAAAGTTTGAAACTTGAAGTACAATATGGCAAAAATAAAAAAGTTTTCAAGACACACAATATTTCACAATACTGTTTTTTTTGGACATTTGATTAGTTGCAGGACTAATTATGCTGTCACTGTAGTCAAACATGCAGTTAAGTTTTTGTTTTTTTTTCCTTTCTTTTTTTTTAAGCATGGCCAATATCCACAATATGCTCGAAAAAGCATACTGGGACATGTGGTGACATAGTTTATCATGATAACGTTAAAGATTGTCAGCTCTAACCAATCATTCATTTTTAGGGCCAAATTTGATGTATTTACAGACTAACTGGCTGATGGTTGGACTGATGGAATACTACAACATACTGGTATAAGTTGGCAGCAGCATGCAACTACACTTCTCCGTGGACGTTTCCGACTCGCATTATTTATGTCATAAAATTGCAAAACAGATTGGCCAAAATAAAAATACAATGAACAACTGGAATTAGCCAAAATTAGAATTGGCAGACTTTTGCTCTAAACACGCAATTTGCAATCAGTTTATTTACTTTTTTATTTTGGCTTATCTGTATAGTAATTTTATGATGTAAACAATGTAGGTCAGTTAAATACACTTGTGCTGTATTTAAATGCTGCTGCTACATCTACACCAAATGTCATAGCATAATTAAGCATGACACATTGCACTGAACAGCCAGTTGCCTCTTACTTTTGATGCAGCACTTTATTTTATTAATGTTTATGAATATACAACTGAATTTGTATTTCAGAATTTAAAATGCAGCAAATTGGCAAATTAAGTAATATATGTAAAAATAATACTAAATAATATTATTTATAATGCAACTTTGACTAATACAAAAGTACTGGAAATGTGTTAGTGAGTTTCATATGTTCATTTAGTCCACACAATGTAAGCTTCAGATTACAAAAGACAAATTGGCGGTGAAGAAATCAGAATTGGAATTGGCCATAAAGATTTTGATCAACGCATCTTTAATACATCAGTCTCTGATTACATGTTTGGAGCAAAAATCTACCAATTCTGATTCTGATTCTGGCTGATTCTGATAATGCATCCCTAATTTCAAGAAAATCTATAAACACTTACAACAAAATTATTAAGTTAAAGGGGTTCATTTCTACAGAATCATCTTTTTCAGATAAAACATAATCAAGGACAATAACTAGAACAATTCTGAATGCGAGAAATTTGACAGTAACACATCACACTTGCAGTGTGAGTTTATGCAAAAGCTCCAGTAAGCTGTTCTTCATAATGGGTTGGGTATACAAACTACCATCACAAAGGACGATAGATTGAATTTTAATGGGCAGATGGTCATGCAGATCGCCAAATTGTATTTACACTCTGGTCAAGCATTAATGTATGAGATGCACTGTGCAATTCAAATGAGTTACGACTGCATTTTCTGGTCATTTGCTGCTCTACTAGGCTACTTTACAATCTACATATATGTCCAAGATTTAATTTAATTCCTTATATTATCTCAACAGCAGCTATAAGAGCAGGAACTGGAACTGTTACACCTGTAAGTGTCTCCTTTTTATCATACAGAAGAAAAACACAGCAACATGTTTCTGCGTTCCTGTAAAAGCTATTTAATATTTAATTCAGTTGAAACACACTTGTTGCAATTAATTAATGAGGACTGAGTCTAGGTCTCATTCAAATGATGCTTTCTCTGTAATGATAGCTACTGAAAAGTGCTGTGGCAGCTTGTTTGCATCAGATGAAGCCTTGGAGCGTCTCGCTAAATATGATTAGAGGCCTTAGTTAGTGTTTCCAGTTCATCTGGCTGGTTGTATGCACATTTCTCTAATAGCAACAACAGAACAGAGAAAGAAAGGACGAGCACACAACATAAATGAAGGAAATGTTTACTCAAATTCCACCATGTGTGGCTGTGTGATCTCTAAACGAGTGCCTGCGAATTTGTTTTGAATTTCATCAGGAGGGCAACATGCCGTTAACAATTCATAAGTTCAATTTAGTCTTGGGGTTGCTATGGTAACTATTGCTACGGAGCTGTGGCTGGAGAAACGGAGGGAATGAGAGTCTGAGAGAGAGGGAGAGAACGAGAAAAAGCAAGGGGGCAAGGAAGATAGAGTGAAAGAGGGCATAAGCCTAAGAAACCGAAAGCTAATGGAGAGCTTGCATGGAAAGAGGTGGTGGGAAAGTAAACTGGAACACATTCAAGTCACATTAATGACTAACTCACTTCAGGGGTGAGTTTACCACCAGCACCAAGCAGCTCACTCAGACCTCGCAGTAACGTAGGTTGATGAAATGACTCACTGCCTCATTCTTTGATCCCACTGAAATAACCAGAGGTGCTAAAATTCCCCACTCTTAGTATCTCATATATCACCCTCTAAAAAGCACCTCCCCCTCAGCTGAGAAGGCACCCAGCTCTGATGCTCAAAGATGTGATGGTATGTCACCTTTTTGGCTCCTTTCAAAATACGGTTCTTTGTGTAATTCCACATACCAATAAAGATAACTTCTTAAATTCAATTCTTTGCCTGATTCTATGCACTATTCTGAGCACTTCGGCAGTAGGACTGAGAATAATATCTCCCATCTGCAGGGTACTTCAGAGTGCCTGATAGACATTGTTGGATTTTTAAAATATTTATCGGGACGTGACTTCTGACTCTAGGCTAGTGTCAGAAAAGAGCTTGAAATCATCTTATGATCTGAGTCGCTCCAAAATGAAGGATTTAGCTCTCTTGGCATTAGAATAGACTCCACTCCAGTGAGTGACACATTAATCTTGCTAGGCCTGGCCGGCTGCCCCGAGAGGATGCACTCACCTGACTTGATGAAGAGGGTGGCACTGCAGCACGCCTTGCCCACTTCATTAGTGGCGGTTACAGTGTACGTCCCGGCGTCGCTTGGCTTTGTCCATTTGATGAGAAGAGAGTGCCTCTCGCCCTCCACTTTGACCACATGTGTGGGACTGTTCTTTATTTCCACATTGTCCCTCATCCATATCACTAGACATGAAAAAACCACACGAGTCAGTAAGTCTCCGTGCCTTCAGTAGTTAAAGCCCCAACAGTCTGAATTAGAATGAGAAATTAAGATGAAAAGAGACTTTTTTCCTCTGCTCTCTTTCAGAAGGTGCAAGACCAGTGTTAGCCACCCTTTATAAAATCAGGGACTAAAACAGTCAGAAGTCATGCAAAAAGTTTTACATTTAAAGATCTGAGAAAAACCAGGTTTTCTTTCTAATTATGTTAATTTTACTCTTGTGGGCACAAAATATACATGTATACATGTATAAAATATGTAAATCAAATAACTTTGCAATATCCACTTAATGTATTTTGCAAAAATTATCCATTTTCAACATAAACTGGGCAGTCCTAATCTTGGGTAAAGCTTGTGTAGGCATTCCCCCACCAATCACAAGGCTGTCCCCAGTCACAACGTTAGCCATAGACTCCTTTTTTTTTCCGAGGTCGAGAAACTTGACAGGTGAAAGCTAACGACCAAGTGAAATCTAACCTAGCATAACTGCATAACTATCAACCTCGTTCAACTGTCTTTCTGTCTGCCTTTCGTCCACCTGATTGTTCATCCGTTGTACTTTTAATTTGTGCAACTGGCCATGTCAGCATTCCCTGGATGCACATCCAGCAGTAAAATTTAATAAGAAACTTACCTTCTTTAAGACATTACCATATAAAATCTGGATGATGTTTTTAATGAGCCATGGAAACAGCAAAGTTTTAGAGTTTTGAAAAGAATAATGTATAAAAGGAAACATCTTCTCATTTCTCTAACAAAGGTGGTATTATCATAATATGGACGTGTTAAGCCCACCTCCAACATTACAATGCACTCTGGAAAAAAACTTTTCATATACAGCACCCATTTTATTAATTTCTCCCCTCTCACGTTACTGTGTTTAGTTCTGCATCAGCGGCATAGAAGGTTGGGAGCCTTAGACTGAAGCATGTCAATCAAGCATTTTATGTAGAATATTAGGACCCAGCAGTTCTTAGATTAGTTCAATAGATCTTTTTAGCGTTTTTAAGCAGTGGTTTATTGGATTTCTCTCATTTTCTTCCATTCAAACTTTGCTAGATGATTAATATAACAATCCGTTTTAGTATCATACAAATACATATTTTGAATTTTTAAATATATATATTTTTTATTTAACTCTCTGTTCCCTTGGACTTGAAGCTGTTTTGCTTCAACATGTCACCAGAGAGGACCTACCTTCAGGGAGAGGGTTGCCAGCAATGATGCACTTCAACAGCACTTCAGCTCCAGAGGATGCCACCATGTCCTGAAGCGGAAACTCAAACACTGGGGCCTCTAGAGGGTCCTCTCCTGCAGACACATAGGAGTCGTCCGAAGATTCTACAATGATATAGAGCACAGAATGAGCGCAAGCATTTAACTGCCACAGCAGTACTATAAGGTGTAAAACACTCAAAAACAAAAGCTACAAGAGACTCTCAGATTTTAACTTGACCTGTGTACTGTCTATCAAGCAAAGTATGTGGGTCTATCAAGCAACGTCTGTTTTGTGGGTCTATCAAGCAATATATTTACTACTGAACAATCGCTATAAATGTGCATGTCTCAAGGTTTAAGCAAAGTAAGAGATACCCTTTTAGAAAAACACCCTTATTAAAACAAGATAAAATTTTTTCAATATGTTTGGTTAACGCATTTGGAAATAAAGAAATTTGATATCCCATTAACAAAGTCACTTCTCTGAAGAGGATTAACGTCTATATTCAAAAATAAATTTCTGACATTAACTTCAGTATTCTGACCTCAAATATCAATCATAAATTGCCAGTCATTGACTTGAATTCTTGAGTTATGAATATACCTAATTCTGGAGACATGGGTCTTTGTCTGCGTCCTCTCCCTTTTATTCTCTGTGGTTTTTCCTCTTTGGCACCTTTGCTTGCTTTTTCACCCTGAGGAGCTGTGGAGGCTTCTGTCTCCATGGGTTCCTCTTCAACGATAATTTGAGGGATGGTGAGCTTTAGGGCTGGAGCTGGAGGAGTCAAGTCCACCTCCATCTTCTCTTCTTCAGAGGAAGATAACGATAGCCTCAGAGGTTTGAGAGGTGCCTGGATGGGATGCTCCTGGATTGCTACTGTCTCACCTTGTACCAGAGGACTTTCAGGCCTTCTTTCCAGCTTGCGCAGTGTGATCTCTATGGGTGTTTTTCTCTGCACAGACTCGTCTTCTGTGTGGACTGGTGTAACTTCCTGGACATGGACTCCCCTCTTTACTAGCGGGCTTGCAGGCCGTGGTTCCACTTTGCGTAATGTCATTTCCAGGGCATTTCTGGATGGAGACTCTGTCCTTGTTCTGCAAGGGGACCGTGGGCGCTCCTCAGCTAGGGAAGTGATTTCCGTAGTTGGAAATCTTTGAGGACTCTCTCTAAGCTGATTAAGTCCATGCAAAAGCCTTGGAGACCTTTGTCCAGGTAACTCAGACGGTGGCATGGCCTCTGGAGGGGATGGTTGCTCTCCCACTCGGCTGGTTGTTTTAGTTGTCACTGGCGACCACTCTCGTACTACGTGTTTTTGTAACGTCGATTCCTGTTGCTGTGGCTGCTGTGTCGTTTGCACCTTTGGTGATTTTGGTGGGGAAGGCTCTTTGGCTTGTTCTCTCTCTCTCCTCTCCTGCTCCTGCTGAGCACGCTCCCTGTCCTGAAGCTTCTGAAGAACTTGAGGTGGAATGGGCTCCAGTTTTCTCACAGGCTGCCTGCTCCTGTGAAACGTGGAAAGCTGCTCAGTGGAAAAGGACTTCTTCATGTGTGGCTTTCCCACAAGTTTCTTAATGCGTTGGAGCTCCTCTGTGAATTTGTTCTCAATGTCTTGAACTTTCTGGGAGTACCGAGGTTTATCCTCCAGAGAGGCAGCCCTCTGCCTGAACATAGACCTTCTCTGGGCTGCATCTACCTTCAAAGCTTCATGGAGATCTTCTTTGGAGCTCTCCCTTGAGATCCCCAGCCGGCTTCCACCCTCGTCAGAGTCTATGGAAGGGGCTCTATTAAAACCGGCCCAAGAGCGTCCAGAGATGGAACCCTCAGGGTTGTCGATGCTCCGTCTCCGCTCTTCAAAGACTCGTACCCTTTCAAAGATCTTGGAGCTAGCACGTGTTAGTTTAGGTGAGGGACGTAGGGTCAAGTCTTTCCGTGAGTACTCGCTGACAGGTGTCTGGGGTCGAGAATCCTGCGCACTGCTCTGGGACATGCCTGAGGATTTGGGCTGCTTAATCTTCTCCTCAAACTCCCCAGGTACTGTGTCTTGATAGTCAGATGGCACGACGGCTTTCTTGCGTGGGGTGAGGGGTGTGGGGGGGCCCGAGCCAGACCGGCCAAGCATGGGAGAGGTGGATGAACGGACAATTTTGGGGGAGGGAGGTGGAAGGACATGTGGGGGAGATTCTCTCAAAACCTCTTCAGACTGGCTCCTGAAAGAAGGCGATTAAGGGAAACGCTCTGTTAGAGTACTGGGTTAATAAGGGGGAGGAGCCCAGCTGTTTGGAAGAGGACAGGGGGCCAGAGAGACGATTTTGTTTCGTCAGGCATTGAATGTATGTGAGCAGAATTTGCAGATGCTTGTGCAAAGTCATTTCAGAGTTTCTATGTGTTTGTTTTTCGTGAGTGGAAAAAATGAGTGTTTTGAATTGCATCTTTGACCTGGAGGTAGACAGTGTGCAAAAATGGTAAACGTTTAAATTTTCCAATTATAAGAGGAGTAAACAACCAAAAAAAAAGATGACAGGTATCTACTAATTTATTTCTTGTTGGCAAAACTGGGTAAATACTGTGAGGAGATGTTCAAAACATGAAAAAAAAATAGAAATGTATTTCAAGCTGGTCTTGGGGTGACAGTCAAGACCAAGTTTCAGTGTGTCACCAAAAATGATTTATCTATTAATCACAGTAGAACCGAATTTTGCGTCAGGGCAGATTAAACTGTGAAGCCAGATTAAACGGCGCCTACTAGCCTATTCCTTCCAAAAACACTGGACTAAACCACCAGGTATCACTGGATTTCCACACAGTTAAGTCTTGAGTCACCTGTCAGAGCTGAGAAGATTATAAATTTTGATTTAGAACAAGCACATGAACATTAACGTTGAGTCATTAAGACTATAGCGAAGGGACTATTTGAAATCGGCTGAACACTGGAAAACATCCAAAGTGATAAAACATAAATATTGCTCTTGTTTACACAGCACACACTTGACTGTGTTGAAACAGATTTAGATGATCTTACTGCATGAAATTCCTTCCCAGCCTGCAGATGGTTAGACTTACTTTTGTATGAGATATCCAGTGTACAAGACTGCATGAACATCACCCAAGCAGTGTCAGAATCATGCAAAAGAACATGGCCATGCTCAGGTCTGAAAAGAAAAAAACAACTGGGATGCTGCTTAGTAGTGGGTGGTGTTAGTATGCTATGAACAAAAACAGCACTTAGTTATGGCAACCTACACCCTGTAGCTTTCTATGTGAAATTATACATTTTCCAAATGCATGTCAATTTGAATGCTCCTTCCAATATCACTATGTAAGGTAATGGAAAATGAAATAGTCATACATTATTAAGGATTCCTTCTACATTTAAAACTTTATTTCAGACAAACAAATGTACATTTTTATAATGACTATATGAGTATACAATTGTAGTTGAAGATACATGTTTTGCAAATCTTATGTTCAGTATTCTGTTGTGTTTGGCTGATAAAGATCTAAAGTCAAATGTGTTACATAAAACTGAGGGACAGAATTTGAACCACACGTTCTGAATATAATGTTAATTTGTAGCAACTGAAGTGTCAATACAACATATCATAATATGTACGCATTAGGTCTGGCATAAAGTGCATGCAAGGACTCATGCTGAAACAGTTCTCCAGAAACAGCATGCGGAGAAACTAGGTAGAACCCAAAGGGGCCAGTGGCACCTCACGCAGACAATGTGATGCAAATAACAACAAATTATTATTTTTTTGCATCCATTGTTGTGTGGGCAAAAAAAAAACCTAGAAAACTCAAAAAAAACTTGCATATGGACAATGGGGGTCAAAGGAAAGTATGAACTAAAGGAAAATAAATCTAGATGAGGCACAAAGAAGGCAGTAACTGTGGGCAGGGGAAGTGGTATATTCTAATCAAATATTCTTAATAAAGCTTTAACCTAACCTAGAATGTGACCTTTTTTTTTACCCTCTAATTTTGAGAATGCAACTGGATTTATCTGTGTACTGAGTTAGAATATAATTGTATGGAAATGCTAAAAGTTCCAAAGATCCTAAGATATTCTTTTTTAAATGCTCACCAGATGTTTCACCAACCGGACCTGCCATTACAATGGATGATTAACTTGACGTGCTGTTAAAACAGATGACTAACAAATGTGTCTTATTTTAAAATTTTCTACAGGTCATAATAATTCTGAGTACATGTACAAGTGTGATGATACGACCACGACATATACATGAACAACGCATGAATTTCCACTTTTTACAGTTTACTCTACACATCTGACTGTGGAGCAGAACATTTATCGAAATTTCCCATTTAAAAACACTTACACACTGTAGCATTCAGCTGTAGCACAGTGAGATAAGTGCTGCCCTACAGGAAAGGGCATTGTTCACACAGAACCTCAGCCAGCACATTATGTAACACTGATCTGACACAAGATTATTGGCTGGTAGCTTTAAAGGCCAGGCCAGTACCTGAATGATGACAATGCCCTGTGCCTGCCATGAGACTAAGCCATTAAGGTTACCTAAGCTTCAGACAGGAAGAGAACCAGCCTGCAGTCATCAATTCACTTCCTTGCAAGGCCCACACGTTCTATCGACAGCACATCAAATGGACAAACAGATGAAAAGTGTGAGCACAAACACAGGGATGGAGAACTGAAACTAATGGATGACAGTTAAGCTGAAGCTAAACTGCTTAGATCTAAATGTCATATTGAATTGGTGAAGCACTGAATATGAATATATTGTGACAAAATTGAAATTTGAAAATTTCTAATGAATTATTACTGGGGGGAAATGACTGGTGAGTGACATTTAGATTTAAAAGAGAGTTGAACACTGGACTTGGGAGGCAGTATATGGAGACTTGGGGTGCAGTTAGATGCACAGTTGACCCTGGCTCCAACATGGCTGAAGAAGATTAACTGAACTGGTGAAGATACAGTCACAGCCCCTCTTGCTTGTTTTATTGTATACCAACAAATAGATCAAGCTAACACCATAGGGACCTGCTCACGAATGCGCTGCTTTTCTACTTTCTTAGCCACACTTTGAAAATTACATAACTGTGATATTTGCGGTGAAACGAGAAGCACACACAAAAAAAAAACTGCTGAGAAACAAAACAGGCTTTGTTGTGTTCCCCAGCGCTGATGGCTAGCTTCACTCCAATATCTGCTCATTCCAATGTGTCATTGTTTCAGTTTACTGAACTTCCACCTGCGAGTGAGTCATGTCTAATTGTAATGGGTTTGGCAGCTCATGTTGCTCTCTCGCCGTGGGCAGAACTGAACGGCGTCCAAAGGCAGAGAACCCACTCACAGTGTCTTCTGTCAGTCCTGTGGTGATGTAAGCTGCCTCAGAGGGGCACTGCTCACCGCTCTTATGTGGAGAGTGAGAGAGAACAAGCAAGAGAGAGAGAGAAGTTACACCCTGGCTTCTTCTCTCAGTCACCTCCCAACCTCAGCACGCAATAAAGGCGCCATGTTAGAGCTAGGGTCTCCTGTGGCACCAGGACTGGGACAAGGGGCTGTTTTGCGTATTTGATGGCAGTCGTTTTTATTTATTGGCCGTTTATTCTGTTTATACTGGGGCTGTGGATGTGGTCTTTTTAATATTATTATTATTAATATTATTACTATTATTATTTGAGCTTGGGAATGCTTTTACTTACAGGGGAATAGAAAAAGTCCTTCCTCTATATAGACTGAATGTGCTACCATAGTAATCGCTAGCTAAAGACACACTTTCCTCGGACCCCCACACTGGCCGGGACAGATTGGCGCGGGACGCCCGAATCAGCGGCTCGACCCCTAGGTGCCTGATCTGGGTTCCCGCCGGCTCCCGGCCGATGGCTTGCCTGGCGGGCTGCGGCCCTGGTGCTCTCGATCCCAGAGACAGCGCCTCTTTCTCCACCACCGTGTTCTCGCTGGATGCCCAGTGACCGCTCGTGTCTGCTGCCATGTCTATCATCCGCTCACCTGCAGAGGAATAAAATGGGAGAGGTGTGAAAGTGCATTTCAAGAAAACAGAAACACCTAATGTCTTTAGGCTGCACACATGTGGACCCAGTGTTTTTGTAATTGGTAAAAATGTACATTTTTAAATTATTTTTGATTTAAAACAACTGACATCTCAGGGCCACAGCACCCCCTCCTTCAGAATGCTTTTAACAACACAGTCCACAACACAGGATGGTGAGTGGATACAACTAAAGTCTATAGTGTTATACATTTTAACATGGGCCTAGTGTTCCCATGCACTCCCATTCTGGAGATAACTGGAGCTTATTGATGTTGCCCTATTCTCAGTCTCTCTAATGTCTCTGACAACACTTAAGACGAAGAGCTTTGTAGCATTGCCCATCGTGTACAAAGGCATCTAATATAATTGAGCAGGACGGTGCCAGATTTAAATAAGGAATGTAGCACTGAATACTGACTGAATGATCTCCTTTAATCATTCTGAAATACCACTAAAACTGTCCTTCAAAGTAACAACCACATTTCAGTCTTTCATTGTTAAAGCATAAAAGAAAAATCGCAGGATATCATACACAGCTATTCCAACACTCTATATATAGCTTACTTTAGCACATCTATTGAATAACCCTCTGCCCATATGACTTTTTCCTAGTGAAATAAAACCTGCAATACTTTATCCACTCAAAAGAATGTGAAACCACCTTTTTAAGTGGATAACATTCTGGAAGAATTTGCTTGACTAGGCTCTGTCCTTTTATGGAATCTACAGTAAGTGGATTGCATGGATTACATGTTTGAGGAGGGGAAAAAAAACGAACACCAGGTGCATGACATTTTCAGCAGGCTGAGTAGCAGACAGCGTACTCTCAGCAGGAGCCAGTGTCTCTCAGAAACCCTTCCATTCCAGTGGGCAGACTCAGCTTGACGCAGGCAGAATAGGAGACAATATAAACAAGCAGCATCTATCAGCTTCACCGACACCAAGCCTCCACCCACTTAGCCAAAATCTGAGCTTCCTAACACATCAAATCAATCTGATATGCACCTCTCCATAGGAAATCATGCTGCTCCTCCACATCCTTGACACATTTATTCCTTCGATTTTTCTTTGTTTGAAGACTGTGGATGTTTCTTATCTCAATGAGCTTCAGAGGTTTTAGTAGCAGTGGGTGTTGGATGCTGAAGAAACAATGCATCTTTCATCACTCAATACTGAGCTCATGAGAGGAAACTAATCTCACAGTAAACCACAATGGCTAATGCAGTTGTTCACAAGGTCTGCAATTGAGTACCTATGAGCCAGATGTTTTTTTTTATGCAAAAAATCAATTACTATTTCTATTTCTTCTTTTAGAGTTTGGAAGTGGAAATACAATTCGCTTTTTTATTTCTTGCTTTACTGTAAAAAAAGAAAGTTGCATTTCCTCCATCTGAACATGTCCCAAATCTGTTCCCACCCCCTCTCCCCAGGGGCTGCTGGGACAGCTTTTGTCATAATACATAATGACAGCAGAAAGTGCCACTGCCGAGATCCTGCAAAGTGCCTCAACGGAATCACAGGAATAAGCCTCTCGCGGCTGTCTTTGTAAACAGGAAACATTCTCCCTCTGTCAAGAACAACGCTATTAGAATCAACAGCATGAAGGTCTTTGAGAATTTGTACAGTGTGTGGTGTAGCTGCATGCCTGTGAACAGGCTTCAGATATAAAGAAGTGCCAAAAATAGGTATTAAATATTATACTATTAAATAGGTACAAAGGTACATGACTGTGTACTGTAGGCTGAATATCAAACAAGCTGAATAAGAAATGTGAAATATAGAATTTCTGATCGTCAGGCAAAAGTTTATGAAGCTTGTACGCACACAACACTGCAATAAAGTGACAATAAGCAGCAATATGTGGGGGAAAAGTACTGAGAAACCATACGTATGTAAAAGTATGTGTACTCTGTAAATATATATATATAACCTTTTTACAGCACTTAAGTGAGCACTGAGTTAAGTATTTAGTGTAATGTATTGTACTGCACTTACTGAAATGTGCTGCACTGTTCGGTGTTTATTTATGTTCCTTTTTCTCTAGGTATCAACATGGGCTTTTGTTTCTGGCAATATCTGAGCTCAGGACTAGCTTTCTCTCTAGCCTATTTGTAACTAGCAAAGATACTTTCTCTAGGTAGACAAAGCACTTTTTGTATGTTGCTCTGGATAAGAGCGTCTGCTAAATGCTGTAAATGTAAATATAACCTAGTTACAAATGGAAGCATGGAGACAAAAATGTGTTTGAATAAAATTTAAAAGGTATCTATATTTAAACATACCCAAGCATATAATTGTAAAAAATAAATGGTTTAACACATATACTGAGAATCTGGAGTTTTTTTTAAACATTGAAGTAACTTTAATGCTTGGCACTGACATGGTATGGTGTCACATGGTACGCAGCCCAGATTAGTCAGTTTGTCTGTGTACGGTGCAGTGACTAACAGATGATACTTGTCCTAGTACAAAGATGATTTAGCACTGTTGTGGAACCTGCAGAATACCAGGGCAAATCTCATGGCTTTTGAGGTTTGCAACAAGTACTTTGAATGAAAATGTAAGTAATCTAAATAACCAAACCAAAATAACGCTTAAGAATGGAAACAAACTACAGTTAATGATGTATTTTCCACCCCTGTTTGCACTATATTACATTTATTTTCTGACTATATAGAAAATGCATAAAATTTTTGCTAGCCTTTTTCTTATGGGTTATCGATGATGCATGAAGGACTAAAAATCAAATTGTGATCTCTGTGTGTCTGACCAATCTGTGGGACACTGTGATAAGACATTATAGTACAGAAGGGTCCATGCAGTAAGCAAATCAATAGAGATAAGCACATCCCAACCAAGTAGAAAAATTACACAATTTATAGATTTTCACAAAAGTCATATTTGTCTGGCACAGAGATAAGCCATCAATGTGTCAAGTAATTGAGGTGACAAATCTGGTATAGTGTGGACAATTACACCAAACACTGGACAGAATATTAACAAAGATAAACGACACTGATCTCCTCTCACCAAGGAAAAATAAAAATGTAATAACACATGAACATTTCACACTAAACCAAAAAGTAAATCATCTGTCCATCTACAGTGAATTGAACAGGTACTGTGATGAGTGTGTGGTGGTGTGCAAAAGCAACAGTAATGATAACAGGGTGATGTGTTATTGAATAGAGTAATGAAGTAATTACCTGCAGGCACACGCTGTGAGGTTTCTTCTGAACCACCTCTGCCTCTTTCTTTGGTCTCCATCTGAGGCTCGCCTGCTTCGTCTTCTGTTGTTTCAGAGTCTGCAGACGAGAAGCAAGCCAATCAGGCCAAGACCACAAGCTGTCAGGCAGACATGATGACTGCAATTAAGTTGGAAAATAGCTCTAATACATAAAATTAAAGCATGGGGCTTCACAGCTGAGTCTGCTTTTTGTATTTGTACATAAGTAATTTCCACAGATGACCTTTTTTATTTCACATTTTCTGATAAGCAAATACAAAAATGGGGTGTGACACTCAGCTTTCATTATTTTAATTGAAGTACATCTTGAAGGTGAAGCAGGTGAGGAGAAGGGGAACCCGGGCACAGAGTGAAAGGATTAAGGCACAAGATGCACAATGGAATGGAGGGATTAAATAAATAAGAAACACTCTTCAGCAAACTCAAAGTTAGAAACGGTTATTACCATAACTCTGTTTCCTGCATGAGCGGAATACTTCGCTTCCATAGTGGCAGAGGGGAGAGGAAAACAGGAAAGCACCGTTACTATAGAAACCAATCCCACCCCCAGTGAATCAGTCACACAACCCCAACCACTGGTACAAAGTGCAGAGCAGGCATTTTCCCCTGACAGAGTTGCCGCTGATGCCCCTGGTGCTGATACATGGTGGCCTTTGAACCACCAGGATGCTGAGCATCTGTACTGCATCTGGGGCTTTGTCTGCTTTAAGGAGACTTCAATGATGGTGTAGAATAACCACGTCCCCAGTGAGAAGATGTCTGTTCATAGGGAGGCTGATCTGCGTGATTATCAGTTAATCTCTTCCGTAAGAGTAAACATTTGTTCTTAAAGACACTCTTGGGGTCTTTGTTCTGGAACATACAGTACTGTGCAAAAGTGTCCATTAAGTACAAGTTATTAATTTTTCAGGAGATATTTCTGAGTAGATAAGATACAGGACAAAACACTTGAAGAAGGAAGGGAAATTAAAAAGTGAAAAAAAAAAACAGGAGTTACCACAACTGGAATTCAAAAAATGATTAAAAGATACAAAGAAAATGGGACCCAAGAACTGTGCAAGACCTGGTAGACCACCAAAGCTATCACCATCAGATGAACAGTACTTTCATCTATGAGAAATGTGTTCGGCAGTACCTGGACTGTGAGAAGCAGAAAATGTAAACAACTTCTAAGACTAAACTTGGAAGATGTGGAAAAAATCCCCGTAGATTTCTTTAAAAATCTTTTTTTGCTAAATACATGATTCCTGATTTATGTCTGACTGAAAATTGACTAACTTGTACATAATGGCCATTGTGGCTGGAGATAAATAGAGGGTGGTCTCTAACTTTTGCACAGTACTACAGCTCTGTTAATACTATGAGTGATCCTCCACTGCAGTTTCACTATTGCCTAATCAACAAATCTGTGTGCGCCTGACTTAGCAGATGTCACAGATCCTGCTCACATTCACCCAAATGTCAAATTCAAAATGGAACAGTTTAATGGACAAATTTCTGAAATATTAGACCAAATTTATTCTAAAGAAGAGGTGAGATAGAATAAGAAAGAACAAGGTGGAGCTCAATCAACAATAACAGCACAGAGCGCATTTCAATTATTCATTACAAATGTCTTTATGGTCCCCTCAATAAAGTTTAAAAAGAATTAGATCAATAATATGGCTGGTACATGCGCAAAGAAATACTGCTTACGGAAGTATCCTGCCATGTTACGTAATGTCGCGGTCGCTGTACAGCCAGCTCAACAAGATAAGGGGCTGTATAAAAGTAGCCTACATTAACATGGCTCTATCTGCTGCATTATTAAACATGGATTTCATTTTTAAGGAATTTAATAAGGAAACGCGCTCCTTCTCTCATTACGAAGTGCAAACACGTCTTTTCTCTCATCACTTAAAGTTACCAACTAAATTGAGGTATTGTCTGTTCCCTCTTAATTAGAGCCTCCTCTGACAGCCGCAAAATAATTTTGGTAAATCTGTCTTGCATGACTACCTGTTCTCCCTCTCTCACACACACACACGCGCACACACACCACACACACAGAATGAACCACAGACACTAACAAACAAGACAATCTTATACAAATAAGTATAACACAAAAGAAATACAGTGATTAAATCCAACAAAAAACAGATTTATTATTAAAAAACACATGAAACATCAATCATGTTTTGCTACAAGTCATGAGGTAACATAATATGGCCGGCTATAAGATTAAGGATGCTGGAGAAAATGCATATCTGACTATGAGTGGTGAGCTGCCTTTTCAGTAAGTGGTTGGACATGCAAAAAGGGCCTTTTAAGTCAAATTACCTAATTATCTGATATGAATATGAATATTATCTCTATTAGCAGGGCCTAATAACTTGCTAGAGTAAAGGCCTGTCAGCAGTAACAGAACAGAACAGGACAGAGTGAAGTGAGATAGTGATAGTCCCATGATAAAATAAGATGATTCATGATTCTTTAAAGTGGATTTGGGTTTGAGATTAGATTTTAGAAATTCAGAAATTAGATTACTTATTTCAGGATTACTGAGTAGTGATAATCAACAACTGGCTGTGCTTGTAATGTTTCTCTCTAGAAATTAGTCATATGGTAAAGGCACACAGGTCAATGGCTACAAATGGCTAAACAACCCAAAATGCTTGACGACTGCTTCTTTAAAAAGCCAAAAATTGACACTGCTGATGAAAAAAATGACTATTCGAACAGAGAAGGGTCACAGAACCTTCAATTACCTGCCTTACAAGCCTTTCTACTACAGTCTTGACACCAGCTAGTCAGCATTTTGAAGAGGTTAGCCATATTTCAACTTTCTCAAGATCCAGTTCATGGCATTAAAAATTGTTTGAACTTTATTGAGAGTTGGGCCATATCAATGATTAATTTCAAAGTGGCATGCACATTTCTGCTGTGTTGAAGCTGAAAGGACATGAATAATCACATAAAACTGTCAGATCTGTAAGATCAGCTGTGAACATGTGAAGCGAGTTGATAAAAAAACAGACAGTATCTGAGAAAAATTTGTGAGACTTTGCACTTTTGTTGCTAAGTTGGCATCGTGGAAAATTTTTTGAGTTGGTGGAGTTAAGAGCTACAGACAACTCGCTAACTGACCAGTTATTCAAGAAGCGAGAGAGATCATTTAGCTCTGTTCACAGCAAACACCAAAATTAACCGACTGCCATTATGTCAAGCTAAAAACCACACTACCTAGCAAGTGCATGAAGCTGATGTTTTTGCCCTCATTGCAGATGAAACACAAGACATTATCAGGCACAAGCAGGTTGCAGTGGTGTTAAGATATTTTAAGGAAGATTTTGCTGTGTGCAAATCATTTGTTGGATTTTACTGGACTGACTGAACAGATGGAAAATCTTTGGCTTTGCTCTTAAACAATGTTCTGGTGCGTCTTGAGCTTGGTATACACAACCTGAGAGCTCTTTGATACAATGGTGTGGCTACCATGCAGGGGGCTTACCGTGGTGCCAATGAGCAGCGTGTGGTCATGCTATCTCCTCAGACAAATATGCGCAGTAAAATGGGTCACACTGAAGAGCTTGGTGACTTTAAATATGCCACTGTCATAGGACGTCACCTTTGTCACAAGTCAATCTGTGAAATTTCTGTCCTGCTAGATCTGCCCTGGTGAACTGCACTTATTGTGAAAAGGAAGCATCTACAAGCAACAACAGCTTAGCCACAAAGCGGCAGATGGAGCAAACTCCAAAGTGAGGCTGCCAAGCACTGAACTGCATAGCGCGTAAAAATCGCCTATCATCTGTTGTATCACTCACTTCCAAACTGCCTCTGGAAGCAACATCTGCACAAGAACTGTCTGTCAGGAGCTGCATGAAACGGATTTCCATGGCCGAGCAGCTGCACACATGCCTAAGATCACTATACGCAAGTGTCGACTGGAGTGGTGTAAAGCATGCCGCCACTGGACTCTTCACCATCTGGCAATCTATAGGATAAATCTGGAATTGGAGGATGCCAGGAGAACATCACTTACATCAATGCACTGTGCCAACAGCAAAGTTCAGCTAGATCAGACTCAAACTAGATCTGGTGGAGGAAGCATAATGGTCTAGGACTGCTTTTCAGGATTTGGGCTCAGCAACTTAATTTCAGTATAGTGTAACATTAATGCTACTGCATACAAATACATTTTAGAGAACTTTATACTTTATACCAATTTTATTTGCAACAGTTTGGGGAAGGCCCTTTCCTGTTCCAGCACGACTGTACCTCTATGCACAAAGTGAGGTCTGTGAAGACATAGCTTGAACAGTTTGGTGTGGAGGAAATCCAGTGGCCTGCACAGACCCCTCACCTCAACCCCATTAAAACACCTCTGAGATGAACTGGACCGTCAATTGAGAGCCAGGCCTTCTCATCCAACACCAGTGCCTGACCTCGCAAATGCTCTTTTGACTGAACAGGTACAAATTCCCACAGACACACACCAAAAACTTGTGTAAATCCTTCCAAGAAGAGTGGAGGCTCTTACAACTGCAAAAGGGTGCCAAGTATAAAAAAATTACTATAGTTTTGGAATTGGATGTCCAACAAGCTCAAATGGGTGTGGTGTTCAGATGTCCACAAACTTTTGGCCATATGTGTGCCATAAAAGTGAGAATTAAATGGATGCCTGAATATTTGGATGTTCTAAATGCATCCTCAATCTTAAACAGACCAGACACTGACTGACAGACTTGAAGATGGGATTTTAAAATCTCTTTTGTAATAACCTGTTATCTATAAAACCAAACACACCATGGGTAAACCGTCCGAACGTGCGGTTAGAGTGCCCAGTTTTCTGAAATAAAGAGAAAGAGAGAAAGCATTTCAGTGTATGCACACAGTTCAACAGCATGCTGCATGTAATTACTATAGTCATGCAAAACGAGTCACAGCAAACAACTGCGAAACACACGCACACACTTGTAGCTGCTAGATAACACTGAAGCCTGCAGTGAAGAGAATGAAAGTGAGACCAAACAGTTCTGTCACTATGACTACGGCCTGTACTTCCTTTCAAACTGG